AATCGATAGCCGATGTGCACATATAAGGAAACCAGTCAGCCAGCCAGCCAGCCAGCCCCAAGATTCTTTCCCTCTCTCCCACTTGGTATGCAAATGCCAAAAGATCTGTGATCTGTCTATAAAAGTTAGACTCGACAGTTGTTTGCACTCGAATAGCGTTTACAAGTGTAAACGTGTCTCAAATGGCTTATAATTAATGTGAATGGAAAACACAAAACACACACACACATACACTGCAATCCATTATCCAGATACAGATATAGTATATATATATATATATATATATATATCAAGTATGTAGATGAAATAACAAGCAGCTAGGCAAATAATTCCATGATATATCCCAAGGAATGCCACAACGTGGCGCCCACGCAGCCACCCACAATTTCCGATTTGGAACAGGGCTGCACAGCTACACTTGGGAGATTCCTGGGATGGTGGTGGAGAGCACGGGGGAACAGAACATGGACATGTAAAAGTGTCAGCTACTGGTTTCATTTTGTTTCCCCACCACAAACAACACGCTTCAAGTGTATAAAGCTGCTCAAATTACGATAGTTATGAGCATAATGCGGCATTTGTTTACTGGGTTGCATCATATCGATATTAATAGGCCTGTGGCATGCCCTACCCTGCCCTGCCACTGCCACTGCACCACACTGCAGGGGCTAATTAGATTTGCAATGCATTTGTGGGGTCCGGACCGGACCGAAGCGTCTCCGAGCTGCCCCGGCGACCCATTCAACTCTCTTTGTTGACTGTAGCCATTCGAGAGTGTGTGTGAATAAAATAGCCATTGAAAACAGTTAATGCATAATGTGTATTTATTACACATGTACATAAATATAAATATAGTCGGGCCAGCAAGTACATACCATACTCGTACCTGTGCAGCACGTTCAAGCTCTGGAACAGCTGTAGTATTAGTCCATATGGGGCATTGACAGACAGACAGTTCAGGCATGCAACATGCTAATTAGCCAAGTCTGTTACTGTACTGTGTACACATAAATCAAAGCAAGCAACTCGTCAGTTTGCACTTCCGTCTGGGTAAATCAGCCATAAAAGTATGCGAGTACATACATATGTATCTGTAAACCGATTTCAACACCCACCAGAGACAATTAATCGTTCATATTTCCAGCTTCAGTTGTCAGTGTGCCCTTTTTTAGTTAGAATGTGGCCTGGTGAAAGGCATTAAGTTGCATTTAGTAGAGCTCTGAATAAATATGCAACTTAGAACATTAAGTGCAATTTTTCAAACTTTCTGGGATTCTCTTTTGCAGCGTTCGCTTGTGCGTATAGAGCCAAGCATCAGTGTGCAAGAGACGTGGTCTTTTAAATGGTGTGTGCTGCCACATTTTAGTTTGTTCCCATAGCCCTAATATCTATGATTTTTTACATTTTCTTTACCATTTTGCTTGCAATTTGATGTAAGTCTGTAGACAGCCATTGGTCACCATCATTATGTTTTCTGTTTTGGCCATGTTTTTGGGTCACTCTGGTGTAATGGGCTTGTCGTGATGTGTTATGAGACGACTTGCTCGTAAATTCGAATTGCAAAAACCCTAAAATACCATGGGGTCATGTGTCCACAGAGGGATTCAACACCACGAATCTACTTAGAATGGTTGGAATCTTGGAATCTATTATATACATATGTATATGTCTGCTTTTAGCCAACTGTTTGTAAGTTCTTTTATTTATTTTTTTTTTCTTCTGATTTTTAATCAAAACTTGTTGTTCTCGACTTGTATAATTCATTCCACTACCGTAGCTACTGCTTTGTTTTTTCCTTCTCTTCTTTGGATTATTTTTTTTGCCTTCCTTCTTCTTTGGCTTCTTCTTGTTCCTTCTTCTTTGGGTTTCTTCTGCGTCTTCTTCCTCTGCTGATTCCCATTGTTTCCCCCATATGCTTTGGCCCGTCTTTTTTGATGTATGAGAATACGGAAAAAGAAGTACCTCCGATGACGTACCCCACTGAATGGGAGCGGACTCTTCCCTGAGCCCTTGTAAACCATTGAATCAGTCACAGAGAGAGAGATACAGAGAGGCAGCCAGAGGGCTCTGTTATGTTCCTGTGCATTTGCTTGGGCTGCCAACCTTCTATTTGCTGTAACTTTGCTGCTGCTGCTGCTGCTGCTGTTACATATGTTCTGCGTTACATAAATATGTTGGCGTAGGCGTTGCTGTGGACGTTGGCGTCGTTGCCATGGTGTTGGCTGAAAATACGTCATCAAAGCGGCACCGCAGCGGCAGAATCAGGTGGAACGGCAACCGCGGTGGCGGCGGCAGCGAAGCCAGCAATCCATAACGGGGATGGCAGAGGCAGAGGCTGCCACACACACAGCCACACACGCACAGCTGTCAGCACGATCGCGATTCCATATCCATATACAAGACCGACTTTGGCTTTTGACGCCAACGCCGAAGCAGCAGCAGCTGCGACAGCGACAACAAAAGCGTTCGCCGTGTGCCAATTCCACTCTGTTTCTGTTTCTGTTTTTCTATTCTCACCTGTAACCGCGCTTCGCAGCCGGCGTTGGCGTTGGCATCGACGTCAACACCTGGGTAGCAGCAGCAGCAACAGCAACAGCCACACTTTAAGCATTTTAACTTGGCCAGATCGCGTTTAGTTGTTGTCGAGACGCCGCCGCACACAGCATTTGATGCCGCCGCTTTCCATGTTAATAATTTCATGCGTTCCGTAGCGGAACCAGAACTCTTCCGAACGAACCGTCGTACCTCCCCGAACGCGTCGCGTGTGTTCCCAAACATCAGAATCTGCCGACAAAGTGTTCAACCTCCACCCAAAAAAAAAAGCAAGTGCAAACTGCAATCCAGCCAAAGCCCAAAAGTGTTCCAAAGCTGTTCAATTAATTCTCCTTCCTAGCGAGTACGAATACGTACCGTATGATGTCAGACCCTGGGGGGTAGCGAGAACTCCAAGCGATCCAATCCGATCAGATCCATCTACAACGTTATTAAGGCGACTGCAATCAGTTTTGTTTGATTTATTAAATGCCGCCAATTCCAATTGATTTCAATCGGAGCACTGCAATTGAGTTCCATTCGTAGCTCCGATCCTCAAACCTATTTCAATTATTTTTATTTTGTTTTTTGTTTTTATTTATGACGAGCTAAAGTGGGGCTCGAATCTGAGTGGATTTCTCAATTCGTTCGCTTGTTTGCAAACAAATGGAAACGGGAAAGGGAATGGGCATGAGAATGGGCTGAAAAATAATGTATAGAAGTAGCTGTAAAATAATGACGTACTGTCTCTCCATCTCTCTCTCTCTCTCTCTCTCTCTCTCTCTCTTGTCTATTGCGTTCCCCTGTTCCAGTTCAGAGCTTTTAGTTCTCGTATTTTTGTTTTGCCATTTTTAACGACACGACGCTCTCCTCAAGTGGTTTATTATTATCTTCTGGTTGACGCTGACGCTCCCCACTGTCTTCACTGTTGCTTTATTAATTTTAATTTATGAGACTCCCCAAAAAATAAAGACAATTTGTTAATTTATTTGATAGTGCCTTGCAGTCAGCGGTTGAGCAATGCAAATTGGCAAGCCACCGAACGACGAGCATCTTCCATTCCGAACAGTAGCCACCCCAAATGGGCAACGACCATAAATTGTAGTACTGGTACCAGTACTATTACCAGATGCTACATCGAAGCTGCCGCTTCGAAAGTCATTGAAAATGTCAAGCCATTAACGCCTCTTAGAGACGCCTCCACAGACACTTTAAGCCCAGGCATAAGCCTCAGGTATTTTTTTTTTTTTGTATTTTTCGTATTTTTTTGGAATAATCACATAAAAACCTCGCAGATCGTTTATAGTTTGCCCATGTGTGAGTGTATTAAAATGTTGCAATTAGCATTTTTGGCCATGTGTGTGTGTGTGCTGGTCTGGTCACGGTGGTGCGCAGGCGTAGACAGGCGCAACGACAACCTCCAACCTCCAGTCTCCGTTTCCAAATGCAAAGCAAACATTTCGTTTTATTTTTGTACGTATATGTATGTGTTCCCCGGGTGGGCGAGCGTTTTGGTCATGACAACTGTCTTATTGATCTTGAGCCATATAGTAGATTAATCAAGAGATTTCAGTTTAAATTGCTTGAAAGCATTCATTAGTTGAGGTGTAATAGGAATATGCAGCACAGTTTATGAGACTTACAGGCCAAAATGGATTTTGGTTCTTGCTTTTGCAGGGAAAGTTCCTGGTCATTATAGGACTCGCAGTTTGTTTGCTATAATTATTGAATTGCAAATATTTGCGAGAGCTTTCGTTCATTTCCTGTTTCGATCGTTTCGCTTGTTTCGCTTTTTTCGCTCGTTTCGGGCACAGAGCGAACGGTGAATGCTTGCTGTTCCAATGCCATAATGTTTCCCCATGCAAAATAGGCTTGCGTTTGCGTGCCTTCGAAGCTCATGAATTCGCTGCCCCCATCATGATTCAGCAGCGCACATGAACTTGTAGTTATGGATGGACTGGACTGGAATGGAATGGTATGGGATGGGATTTTTTGCACACACAAATGACGAAGAAGCAGCAGCAGCAGCAGCAGTAACTAGTAGAAGCAGCAAATAGCGCCCAGAGCAAGACTGACAGACAGTTGAGATAATTATGTGTACGTACAACACAATAAATAATTCGCAACAACAATGGAATGGAGCCCAGCCCCTTACAACCGATCCCCCACTGCTCGGGGAGCACTTCAGTTCGTTCAGTTCACTCTACTTGGCGCTCGCTGTGGGGTTTCTGCCAATGTCTAGGGCAATGCCGATGGCAGGCGGCGCACCGGTGGGCAATAGAACAAGACATCCGGTGCCGGGTTTTGGTTTTTCGGCTTAGGCTTTGGCTGGTTTGGGCTTTCGGCTTTGGCTTAATTAAACGCAAATTGCGGACCGGCGGCAACTCAATTGTCTGCGAGCACGAAACGAATCCAAAGCAAAAAGAATAACAATTATTTTGAAATCACGCACAAAAATAGCAACCAGAAAGAAACGCAAATTGAACGCAAAACGAAACGAATTGTAACGATACCTAAACGAAACAAAGTGAAAACGAAACGATAACAGCAGCGCGATAACAACGATAGCTGCGATAAAATGCACTCCAGCTCACAATCGACGCTGAAGCGCACACAGCAGCTGGTGCGGCAAACGAATGGCGGCCGAGGCGACATCCTTAGCAGCGGCAGCGAAGTGGTCCACTCCTCCCGCGGTCCGCCCATCACCACCAACATCGATGACTCCAGTCTCCGGTACCGCCATGAAACGAAACGGGAACGGACCGTCGAGGCTGTAATTACGGACTATCCGAGAGGGTCGCCTCTGGGCAGCGCGAGCGGACCCCACGAGCGCACCAACTTTGAGCGTACGGTGACCTTCCAGGATGCGGCCGGCAATGGCAGGCGCATCTCGGATAGTCGGGCTTTGGTCCCCTCGGGCGGGAACACGACGCAGGCGGGCAGCAGCAGCAGCTACCAGCAGGTGACGCGCAACAAGCGCATCTCCACCGAAGTGCTGGGCTCCAGCGTGGAGAGCACCAAGACATCGCAACGCGCACCAAATGGCCATCGCCGCGTGACCACGCACATTGTCCGCAAGGTGACCACGCTGAGCCGTGCCGAGGAGAACGCTCAGCCCGCTGAGGATCTGCTGCCGCCAGCCAAAATGATACGCAGCTCAGAGCTGGAGTATCGACGCGCTCTGCCCGCCCCATTGGCCATTGAGTCGTCATCCACGCAGCGCAGAGAGGTAAAGAGTGTCTTGGGGGGGTGTCTTATCTTACTCAGTTTTGCTCCAATTACATTCTTTATATTGATTTTGCTTTGATGATTCCCTTACTAACGCTTTATGGACAATTTTTGTTCGTCGATAGATCTCCGATATTGTTGTGGGCAAGGAGGACAACGTATCCGCACGTGAGGCTTTGCTGCGATGGGCACGCCGCTCCACGGCTCGGTATCCGGGCGTGCGTGTAAACGATTTCACATCGTCGTGGCGGGATGGATTGGCCTTCTCGGCTCTGGTGCACCGCAACCGACCGGACTTGCTTGACTGGCGAAAGGCAAGGAACGATCGGCCACGTGACCGCCTAGAGACGGCCTTCCACATTGTGGAGAAGGAGTATGGAGTGACGCGTCTATTGGATCCCGAGGGTAAGCCGCAATTAATTGGTTAATCTCTGATGTCATAGCTAATGATCCCAAATGATCCCTCCCCCGCCCAGATGTGGACACCAACGAGCCGGATGAGAAGTCTCTGATCACGTACATCTCGTCGCTGTACGATGTGTTCCCGGAGCCACCCTCGATCCATCCACTGTTCGACATGGAGTCACAACGCCGCGTGCACGAATACCGCGATTTGGCCCAGCAGTTCATCTACTGGTGCCGGGAGAAGACCGCCTATCTGCAGGAGCGCTCCTTCCCGCCCACGCTCATCGAGATGAAGCGTCTGCTGAGCGATCTGCAGCGCTTCCGCAGCGAGGAGGTGAGCGCCCGCAAGCGGGAAAAGTCCAAGCTCATTCAGATCTACAAGGAGCTGGAGCGGTACTTCGAGACGGTGGGCGAGGTCGATGTGGAGGCCGAATTGCGGCCGGATGCCATCGAGAAGGCCTGGTACCGCATGAATACGGCCCTGCAGGATCGCGAGGTGATACTGCAGCAGGAAATTGAGCGCTTGGAGCGGCTGCAGCGTCTCGCGGACAAGGTGCAGCGCGAAATCAAGCATGTGGATCAAAAGCTAACAGATCTGGAGACACGGATCGTGGAAGAGGGTCGCCGCATCGAGCGGCTGCATCCCGTCGATGCCAAGAGCATTGTGGAATCCCTCGAGACGGAGATCCGGCATCTGGAGGAGCCCATACAGGACATGAACCAGGACTGCCATGTGCTTAACGAGGGCCGCTATCCCCATGTGAGCGAGCTGCACAAGAAGGTCAACAAACTGCACCAACGCTGGGCTCAACTACGCACCAATTTCCACACGAACCTGGTACAGAAGCTGTCCGGTTTGAAGTATCCCGTCCATGAGACGACTGTCACGCGTCAAACGCGCATGGTCGTCGAGTCCCGTCAGATCGACACGAATCCCCATTTCCGCGACCTGCAGGAGCACATCGAATGGTGCCAGAACAAGCTAGTGAGTAGAGACACCTCTTGGGGGAGAGTCTTTTCGAGTCTAACAAGCTATTTTTCTCTCTCTCTTTGTGCACAGAAACAACTGCTTGCCGCTGACTATGGCAGCGATTTGCCATCGGTAAAGGAGGAACTGGATCGTCAGCAGCACGAGCACAAGATCATCGATCAGTTCCACTCGAAAATACTCAATGACGAGCGCCAGCAGACCAAATTTACCGGCGACGAGCTCAATCTCTACCAGCAGCGGCTCAATCAGCTGCAAAAGGTCTACGCGGAGCTGCTCAGCACCTCGACGAAGCGTCTGTCCGATCTGGACTCGCTGCAGCATTTCCTGGGCCAGGCCTCGGCGGAGCTACAGTGGCTCAACGAGAAGGAACAGGTGGAGATCACGCGCGACTGGGCGGACAAACAACTCGATCTGCCCTCCGTGCACAGATACTATGAGGTAAGTGTGGGTGGCTAGGACTCCTCCCTAGAGTTAACCCATCCTAGAGCTAGTTTCATATGAGTGTTGTGCTTCTATTTTGTTTCTGCAAGCGTGCATTTGGTAATGGCGACGAGGTAAGATCTGAATTGGTTAACAAAATTCTATGAAATTCCATGAAATTCCATGAAATTCAATCGAAAAGCAAACTCCAACCAAGTGCACTTCTCTTCCGAGGCTGTTATCATCCACCACTAACCAAACACTGAAATTCTTTGCTTATGTAGAACCTTATGTCCGAACTGGAGAAGCGTGAGATGCACTTTGCCACCATCCTGGACCGTGGGGAGGCACTGCTCAATCAGCAGCATCCGGCCTCCAAGTGCGTGGAGGCCCATCTGACGGCCCTGCAACAGCAGTGGGCCTGGCTGCTGCAGCTGACGCTATGCCTGGAGGTGCACCTGAAGCATGCCACCGAGTACCATCAGTTCTTTGGGGAGATCAAGGACGCCGAACAGTGGCTGGCCAAGCGCGACGAGATACTCAACAGCAAGTTCTCGCAGTCCGACTTTGGCCTGGATCAGGGTGAGACGCTGCTGCGTGGCATGCAGGATCTGCGCGAAGAGCTGAACGGCTTTGGCGAGACGGTGGCCACACTGCAGCGTCGCGCACAGACGATTGTGCCGCTGAACAAGCGCCGCCAACCGGTGAACCGTCAGGGACCTGTGCAGGCCATCTGTGCGTACAAGCAACAAGGACAGCTGCAGATCGAAAAAGGCGAAACGGTGACCCTGCTGGACAATTCGGGTCGTGTGAAGTGGCGCGTGAGGACGGCCAAGGGACAGGAGGGCTCTATACCTGGTGCCTGTCTGCTTCTGCCGCCGCCCGACCAGGAGGCCATCGATGCTGCCGAGCGTCTGAAGCGTCTCTTCGATCGATCCGTGGCCCTGTGGCAGAAGAAGCATCTGCGCCTGCGCCAGAACATGATCTTTGCCACCATTCGCGTGGTGAAGGGCTGGGACTTCGACCAGTTCCTGGCCATGGGCCCCGAACAGCGTACGGCCATCAGGCGTGCCCTGAACGACGACGCAGACAAATTGCTCAGCGAGGGCGATCCGAACGATCCGCAGCTGCGTCGCCTGCGACGCGAAATGGACGAGGTCAATCGATTGTTCGATGAGTTCGAGAAGCGTGCTCGCGCCGAAGGTGAGTGTGGGCGATCTCCATTCAATTGCTGGCGTTTGCCAGCTGTCCCCAGCACAGCACAGCACAGCACAGTTAATTGATGAAAGCTAATTGAATTTAATGCCCTGCCCGCTCGAGGCCTGTGGCTCGTCTTAGTCTTGTTTAGTCTAGTCAGCCATGAAGAAGCTGTTCGCGAGTGCCAAAACGAGGGGTAATCCTCCGGGGAATCCTCGTTAGAGCGGATACTAATTTTTGGTATTTCTCCAACTATTTGCAGAGGAGAGCAAGCAGGCCAGCCGCATCTTCACCGAGGAGTGCATTGCCATCAAGGGCAAGCTGGAGGATATGGCCCGGGAGTTGGATCAGATTATACTGGCGCCACTGCCGCGTGATCTGGACTCTCTGGAGCATGTGCTCGAGATCCATGGCGACTATGAGCGCAGGTTGCACTTGCTCGAGCCGGAGCTGAAGCATCTGCAGGAGACATTCCGCACGATTGCCCTGAAGACGCCCGTGCTGAAAAAGTCGCTGGACAATCTGATGGAGCTCTGGAAGGAGCTGAACACGCAGAGCGGTCTGCACAAGGATCGATTGAAGCTGCTGGAGGCCTCGCTGGCCGGACTCGAGGACAACGAGCATGTCATTTCCGAGCTCGAGAACGAGCTGGCCAAGCACCATGACCTTCCCTCGACGGCCGAGGGCCTGCAGCAGGTGTTCAAGCAACTGACTCACATGCAGGACATCATTACACAGCAGCAGCCGCAGATGGACAAGATGAACGATGCTGCCGATCAGCTGGGACGCATGGGTGTGCCCACCAAGGTGCTGGGCGATCTCAAGCGTCTGCACTCGAACGTGGAGCGCCTGAACACGCGATGGAGTGCGGTCTGCAATCAGCTGGGCGAAAGGTACGTAGCGCCAGTGCCACCTGCAAGCGCCTCTCCGCTTCATTTATGCACAGGGATGGAGGTGGAACCTGTTTTCTGTCTAACATATAACACCAACGATCGTTTGCACTCCCTTTTACAGAATGCGCTCATGCGAGACGGCCATTGGGCTGATGAAGAATCTCCAATCGAGCGTGCAAGTCGAGGAATCATGGGTGGATGGCACCACAGAGCGTCTCTCTGCCATGCCCACGGCCACCTCGGCCTACGAACTAGACGTGAGTACACCACATGCCCGATCCGATCCGATCTGATCCGATCCGACCCGATCCATGCCTCGTGATCAATGCAATTATCATATCTGATCGAGTGATCGAGACTGGTCAACCTATATATAGATTCATTTCCCTGTACAGTTTTTGAAACAGTTTTAGTAGCTGGATTATCTGATCCTTCCTGATCCTGCCTCGGGGCAACACAAAGTATATATATATATCTGTAGCTGTAAATGGAATTCGTAGCTGTCAACCCCCCGAACCCTGTCCAAAAGTAGTTGCTCCTTTTATCTTTTGTTGGGGCCTGAAACCCGTTGGTGTTGGACACGATACACGATATTCTATTCTAAATGTATTTCCTGTTTTTGTATTTGTACTCCCATTTCCATTTCCCATATCCATTTGTCTAACGATCTACTCAGGTGTCCCTTGTCCCTTGTCCGTACTCCGTATACTCGTATATCTCTTGCCAGTAGTTCTCTTTTGTCTACTCCAACAGCAGATTCTTCTGCAACCCACACACAAATACACCCACACACTCGAACATATGTACATATATATACATATATATATAAACAGATCAAATCCAAATGTGGCTAAACTCTGGATACCCTCCCACACACACACGACAACCAACCAGTAGAGTACCATATATGTAGTTGGTATCCATCTGCTCCACCCGTCTCCCTACCTTACACTCTGTAAATTGATACCAAATTTGTGTTGGTAGTTTATTTTATATTTTTGGAATTATACCACTTTTTATTTGTGTGTGTGTGTAGTTTGTCTGTAGTTTGTCTACCCCTATATACCCATACCCCCTAAGCTGCACCTATACATATACCTAAATCAATGATATATCTATATATTTATATATATATCCACCCCCCAGTATTATATCGTATTTGTAGTTGAAAACTAATTGTATATGTATTTTTGTCTAATTTTTTATGTATTTTTCACCAATTCAAACAAATATTTCACAAATCAAATCCAAACCAAAATATTATCACACACTATAAACCAAAACAAAAAACGACCAAAAAAACAAACACTCAAAATGAATGAACCAACAAATGAAATATCCTGAAACAAATACCAAAACATTTGTTGTCCAAACAACAAAATACCCCCCCTTCGAACCCCTCATATATAGAAACTGCTTGGAGCTGCAATCGAACGAAAACCAAAAATCGAAAATGTCAACGTGGCTGGAGGACGACTGATACGCGAAGCTAAGGTAAAAATTTTGTATGCCTGTGTCCTGTGTGTATGACGACTGAGTTCTCTGACCCTATCGTAACTCGGCTGTCAAGGATCGCTGATAAGTATCGCTGAGACTTGGTTCATCCATTGGGTTGCGATGGGTCAGTGTTTCAGTATGATTGTGATTCGAGTGATTGTGTGAATATTTCGACCTCTTAGCTGTCTCTACCTCCTCCTATCAACTGTCTCTCTATTTTTCCTATACATATATTTAATGCTTTTTAAACACTTTGAGCCTCGGACTAGGCTCAAATTTTAGTTATTTTGTGGGTAAAAGGTGCGTCAATAACACTTGGGGAAACAACAGAAAACAACAGATATTGACCAACAAACCAAACAAACAAACCAAACCAAACCAAACAACAAACCAAACAAGCATTAAAACTTACCAAACAAAACAATTAAAAGGCAATTTTTATACCAAAAAGTAATGTCGTATTGATTAATCAATAAAATAAAAAGCACTAAATATATCAAACCACCCTCAATACCCTTGAAAGCAAAAACAACAACAAAAACCAATTGTTTAACACACAAACATTACTAACATTTAACCGATAATTAACCAACCCAACCAACCAACCAATCAACCAACGAAACAACGGATCGGAATGGATCGAATCGAATGGGGAATGCCAACGATAGATCTACGACAGTAAATGCCTACGCTTTGTGGATTGGCTGCTGGAGGCACGTCCATCGTTCTCGCCGCCACGTCGTGACCTGCGGCCGGCGGACAGCGATCCGGGTGCCACACAGTATTATAGCCAACGTTTGGACAATCTCAATACGAAATACGACAGGTTGCTGGAACAACTGTCGCAGCGGCTGAAAACGGCAATCGAAGTCAATGGCAGCGATGGTCTGGTGAGTAGTTATCCTACATTCCCCACTCTATCGATGGATTTTTGCGGATCGGAATGGATTGAAGTGGAGTAAAGTGAACTGACGTCAGAGTATATTTGTACATGGGCAAAGGCTATGCCTAGGCCTGGGCCTAGACCTGTCAGCGGGTGTCATAAACATAATTCCAGGTTCAAGTTCAGAAAACTTGTTTCGCTCTCGCTTTCGTTTTCTACAGTCGCGAGAGTTTTCAAATGCAAATACGACCCCGTCCATCACACTCAGTTGTATCATTTTGTACCTCCCATCTGTGTCTGTGTTTGTATCTTTATTTGTATTTGTTTCTGTGTCTGCTTCAACTATTATTAAATTAACCTTCAGAATGGGAGAGAGACACAATAATGACATCACATCGAGTCACATCGAATTGTCCAAACATTCCGTCAATGGGCCACCGCCACCGCACGGTCGAGTGTCAAACTCTTGAAATGTTGCCGCTATAAATCACGGCTTGATTAATTTATAAAAAATTTTTAAACTACTTTTTGTTCTCCTGCTCGTGACTGTTGTTTGTCTGCTCAGTTAGCGGGCGAATTGATGCAGTAATTTGTACAAAGTTTGGGATATAAAAATAAATATTGCATCAGGAGTAGCTCCATGAAACCATGAAAATAGCCATTGTCATGTGGCTGGCCAATTAGGCAAATGGGAGACAGATTTCAAATTAATAATGACGCCGTTGAATTCTATAAATATTAATGAGTCTGCGGTTCCTATATAGCCGATACCCGATAGTCATAGCCAACAAAAACTCAATGCCAGTGGCGGCACGTCATCAACATCTTTGTCGCCATAGCGATGCCATCTGTCAACTCTTGACTTGAACGGGTTTGGCTCGAACATTTCAAGAGATTCTCAATTAAAAGATCGACTTGGGCAGCTATTTTGAGCATAAGCTTGGTAACTTGTTTTCTTGCATGCTCTTTAGATATTTAACTAACAAATAACCATAATTAAGCAGGCATATCTGCTGATCTTACAATGTAAATATGAGTTCAATCAACTTTGGAAATATTTCTTGGGTATTTTACGATGTAAATCCCACACGGCCTGCTTTATACTCATTGCAATTTATATTATACCAGATTGCAGATCATTATTATAGCTAGAATGAAGAAAACAATTTCCTGACGTTGACTCCCCTGCCCCGCTCGCTTTCTCTCTCTGTCCTCGTCCAGTGTGCGCTTCTGGCGGAGTGAGCGAAATATAACGGCCAGATGGTAGTTCTTTTGTGCAGTTCTTGAAAATTTGCGTGCCCACTGTTAATGTAAATACGAGTTCCATTTATCTTTACTTTTCCATGTTTGATTTCATTTTTGTAAAGTGATTTAATCTGTGCCTTAATCTAGTAGCTTGGGAATCTTTGGCAGCCTTTGAAAGGCGTTGCCTTCGTGCCGAGGTCTCAGCTATTAGGAGTGACATCATTATGTACCTCTACGACTGACTCCATTACCAACTTTGCCTTCGGCTTTCGGCTTAACTTGATATGCATAGCATGGGCGGGGGCTGCTGGCCTAACTAGAGTGAATGAATATGTTTCTATATACTCGTATAATTTTTTTTTTTCTATTTCGGAAGGTTAGATGGCTGTCAAACTGGTTTCGCGCTTCTCTTTGAAATTAAATCTCAAAGAATTCTGTTCTTCTGACTTCCGTGTATTGTTTTCGACTTTAAATTGGAGCCCAACGCCAGCCCTCTCAATGGTCCCGTCCCTCCTTTTGCGCTTAGCTCTTGGCAGAGAAAGAGAATCCCCCCCCCCATTTTGTTTTGTAAACGACTTGTTTATCATTTTGGCGCAACAGCTGAAGAATGCTAGCCGGCATTTGTAAGCTCTCTCTCTCTCTTTGTTTCTCTCTCATCTGCCGCGCACTCTCTGGCACTTTGCTGTGCTCCCACCAAAAGCTCGCTCTTTCTCTATCTCTCCCTCCATTAGCCATGCGATGGGGCCTCAGCTCCACTGTGCTCTGGCTGCCCCATTCAGTTCCGAAAGCGACGTGGTTGTGTAACGACGCAACGCTTCTTCGTGAGTTGTGTGTGTGTGTGTGTGAGCGAACGGCAAACGAAACACCGACAAAGGGGCACAAAACAGCCTCAAAGGTTGCCCGGCCGGATAGTTGCAAGGCGTATACGTACTACGCGTACTGTGGAAATTGAATTGTGAAACAACCGTGTAATTATGTGTGGAAGAATAAATAAGAGAAAGGCCGGACATTGCTCATACGCCACATTGGCTACATGATGTCACATACTACGGCCGTATAGAAAGTGTGTCTGTGGCCGTGTCCGTGCCCGTGCCCGTGCCCGTCGTCAGTGTCGGTATCCGTGTCGGTGTCTCGGGGTCTGTGCGTCTTCAATTAAATGCGAATCGTGTCGCATGGCCCGCTTCTATTTTGCTAATAGAAATTTAAATATACTGCCGCCAACCCACGTACCCATTTCGAAGCCAAAAGAGTTCTATATTGCGTATAAAATGGCCCAAAATGAAGTCACGTCACTCTCTGTACAACTCAGCACGAAACTCGAAACTAGAAACAGAATTGAACAGAATGAGAACCACTCTCGAAAGTGTGAAAATGAAAATAAAAGAAATACATTATTAATATAGCCTTGAGCATGTCGCAACAGACGGAATGTTGATTTTTGTTTTGTGTTTGGCGTTAATGAAAATACAAAAGACCCAAAAATTACAAACACACACATAGAAATAACAATAATAAGAGTCGGATGCCTTTTGCCATGACTCGCGTGCGATTTTTGGATTGTTAAAAGTTGCATAAAACACAAAAATTCCGACCATTATCAGACAGCTGCTAAAATTAAAGACACCAACAAAAAAATGTGAAATTATCAGAAATACTATTTAGTGAATTTAGTGAAGAGCATGAATTATGACTTCCTATCAACGCCACAGATCGACTGTGTCAGGGCTGGGACTTTAATCTTATCTGTGGAGGTGCAATCCATCAGACAGGGGGAGTGAGCGATAGTTGGCATGTTTTGGTTTCCCTGGAAATACATATATATTGGTGGAGTGGAGTGCGTTTTCCTCTGTTTGCTTTCCTTGGCCTCTTCCTGCACTTTTCCTGCCCTCCATCTTTTATCGATTAAACGCGGCTGTGGACATATCTGTTTCGGCTGCCGTCGTTTGTTTTATTCTTCAATATATATTTTTAGCGGCATTCTAACATATTTCAGTGCCCAATAAATTAGAAATGAAAGGGAGCGTTCGTTCTGTTGGGTCTTTGTCCCCACTAGACGGGGACAGGCGCCTATTTTCGGTTTTTTTTTCTTGTTTTTTTTTGTTTGTTTGAGTGGCAGAGGCGACGTCTCATTGCAGCCAAATTGCTGCATGCTGCAAAGCTCTCTCTGGCTCTCTCTCTATGCCTCTTGTTCTCGTAAGTTCTCCCTTGGTTGAATGCCGGCACAACGTGGCGTATTAGTCATGTTATCAGTGTCAAGCACATCCCCATTCCCATGCCCGACTCTCTGCATTCGATTTGGGCCAAGTATATTCTTAATCCACTTATAAAAACTACTCTCAACATCTCTGATTATAATTTTGTTTCATTTTTGTGTGGTGTGCAGTGCGGGCGCTCGACAAAAACTTGTTTCATTTCAAATCTAATATTCGCCACTGATGACATCATTGTTCCCGTACTCGTATATTTACTGTGTGTGTGACTCTTTGTTTGTGTGTGTGTTTTTGTTAATTATAATTTATTTGTTGCTTTTACCAACTCTAGGGCAACCTTGTGGACTGCCAGCCGCAGCAGCAGCAGCCGTATACTCGTATTTTTTCAAATCGAGATGCAAATCGAAAATGTTGATCACTCTACCAAAAGGCAAAGAGTCTCATTTCCTTTCCAAATGACTTCATCTGGCAATTGATTCCGAGTATAAGTGACGTCAGTGCAATCCTAATTGAAGTTACGACTCTCAGGCCATATGTCAGACATTGAATCACAGAGCACGAATGTCTATAGAACGGACTATAAAGATAAAAAGATAAAGATGTGCGTGTGGATACCACACAACACACAAGAACTCATTGCCGGTGGAATCATCCGTTTACAATTCAGATTCATATACAGAGATATCTGTGCACTCTGGAAAGAGTTTTAATGATTGCAGAACGGGCAATCGAGAACTCTGGACCTGTCGTGCCCTGCCCTCTCCTTCCTCCGCCATAGCAGCATGTAGGGCACGTCATTGCTTCCATTGCTACTATTACTCTCATTGCTCCGAGATTTATTCTTCAACAAACAGACGCACTAGCAAAAAACGCTTAAGAGAATGCCCGAAAATCCGAAAACAAAATACATGTCGTGTGCATGACAAAGTATATTGCTGTTTTTCTGGACACTGGGATTCTAGTGTAAAGAAAATGCGTGTAAAGAAAATGCCCGCGAATCCAAAAACCATTTGCATGCCATGTACAGGACGAGGCGCATTGGTGCTTGACTCGAGTCTTGCCCGCCGATAAGGGTTGTTTTTATTTTGTTGCTGTAACTGATCTCAAATTGAAAAAGCCTGCCCAAGGCTGGCTCCATAGCGTCATTTCTATTTCCATAATGGCTTTGGGTTTTGGCTTTTCGTATGTGTGTTTATTGTTGTGTTGTGTTTCCGTGTGCTTTGGCCTGGGCTGATAGTACTAAAAGCTAAGATATGTGTGTGTTTTGTGTGTTTTTCTATGTGCTTTTGGTAGGGTGTGAATCAGAAGGGTGAGTGCCAAATCCGGCAAATGAATCGAGGGAATCCAAGCAAACCTCAAGTCTGAGGCTGCCCCAAATCTGGCGGAAGATTCTTCTGCAGACCCAAAAAAAAAACAAAAAAAAAACTCTTTTCTTAGTTTTGTTTTATCGCCTATAACTTTATCTGAGGGGTCGTATCATATCAACAAAAGCAAAAGCAATAGCAATATCAAAAAAAAAAGACATTAACGCATGCCATAAAACAAACAACATTCCCAGTTCGCGACTCCCGACAGGCGGACTTCAAGAGTGACGCGTTGTATGTAGCCCCACACCCCCGACCTGACACTCGTATCGTACCGTATCGTTAAACGTATGAAGTAAATCTCTAATTGTTTCTGTCATCAAAATTCAATCTCGCGCAGTGCATTCAAGAAGCCCCAAACTTGCCCAATCTAGCGGCTGACTATGACTTTGTCGAACTGAATCGAACGAAAAGCAAAGCCCTAGACATGCCCCAGCATAGATCGGGTCGCAAGGCGACCACCAAAGCCCAAAGCAAAAGCCAAACCCAAACACAAACCCAAACTAAAACCAAAACAACAACATCAACTGTCCAAGTGGCAGAGGAAAGTGACTACGACTTTGCGTTCGAGTTTCAGGTAATGCTCCCATCCATCCATTCCCACTCCGAACTCCGTCTAAGATCCGCAAAAGTTTCCAATGTTTTCCACTGTTGTTTTTCTGCTTTGCTATAAATAATCCTAATCCAAATTCATTTCGTTTTGCGGTCTAGCAATACGCTGAGAGTCTACAGAAACCGCTCAAGACCTTTAGGGTTGACTTCAGTGCGGGCAGCGTGCCAACTGGCGATGGCCATGCTGCACGTCCGGAGGATCTCTACACGACTACCTACAGCACCACACAGTGAGTACCACACACACTCACATATCCCCACATACGCCCTAGATGAGAAACTAATCGACTCCCCTACAGATTCAGCTCAACGAAGACAACGAAAAGCTCCTCGAAGAGCATCTACAGCAGCGACAACTTGGATGCCGCTAGTCAGGAGTTGGGGGATGCTTCCCCCGTTCCCCCAATCGGTACGCAGATCCAGTTCAATGAGATCCGTACGCTGAAGCGTTCCCAGCAACTGGGCGGCAACTCGGTGCTGGATATTGCCGGTATACGCGATCCACTTACGGGCCGTGTCCTTACCATTGGGGAGGCCATTCAGCTGCGCATTCTGGATGTGCGCACCGGCGAGATGCTGGTGGGCGATCGTCGGATCACCCTGGAACAGGCCGCCGATCAGGAACTGATTGATGCCCAGCTGGCCAGGCAGCTGCTGCAGCCGGGAGCAGGACGCGATCCCAGCGGAAGGGAGCTGTCGCTGCTCGAGGTGATCCAGCGCGAGATCAGCGAGGCAGAGTCCGGCTACGAGACGGCGGAGAAGCGCATCAAGGTAAACAGCGTAGTCACGACGGAGGCGGTGGGAGTGGGATCTCCCGAGAATCCCCGTAATATTGCCGACGCCATTTCCGCGGGGAGTGTGGACACCAAGACGGGCCTGTACCGGGTCAAGTCGGGGCAGACCATCAGCCTGGCGGAGGCCTACGAGCGCGGCTACCTCATCCGGCACGAGTCGGTGACAATCAAGTCGAATGCGCTGTGCCTCAGCGATGCCATTGCCCACGGGCTGGTCGATGCCGCCGGCTGGATAGCGGACCGCAACTCCGGCGACAAGTTCCGGCTGGACTCGGCCATTGCCAATCAGCTGATCGATGCGAGCGTGCGCGAAGTGGTGGACGCGAAGCGCGACGTGAAAATAACACTGCAGGAGGCCCTGCAGTCGGGCGTGCTAAACGCGAAGACGGGCCGGTACGTGAACGAGGTGACCAAGGAGAAGCTCACCTTCTCCGAGGCGCGCAGCCGGCAGCTGATCGTGAAACCCTACACGCTGAAGGACATCTGTGACCTGAACCTGCTCGACCGGCAGTCCGGCCAGATCACGAGTCCGATGCGTCGCGAAAAACTGAGCATCATGCAGGCCATCGAGGCCGGAGTGCTCGACGGCAATCAGCTGAAGTGCATCACGAAGCGAAAGGGGGAGCTGGTCACCCTGCAGGAGGCCATAGCGGATGGCATTGTCCTGCCCGCGGAGGGCAAGTACCGTGACTTCATGACCGGCGAACTGATCACCATTCCCGATGCCGTGGAACGCGGCCTGATCAGCTCGGTGGCGCAGCGTTCGATCTTTGATATTGACGGGTTCAAGGACCTGCGCAGCAACGACTATGTTAGCTTTAATGTGGCCCTCGCGCGCGATCTGCTGCGGCGCAAGAGCACAGGCTTTGCCTTGGAGACGGCCGGTAGGGAAAAAGATAAGGAAAATGACAGGGACAGGGACAGCCAGGGGGTGCCCCTGGAGGTGGCCGTGGGCGAGGGTCTCGTCCGCCAAGAGGTGTACGAGATGTTCAATCGCGGTATTGGCGTTCATAATGCCAGCGGCCAGGAGCTGAGCGTCTTCGATCTGGTCTATCACAATCTGATTGACCCGAAGACGGGCTACCTGCTGGACCCAAAGTCGGGCGACGGGGGGGAGACAGTGCCTTTGGACACCGCCATCGAGCGGAAGTTCATTACCCCCGAGGGGGCTCTCCTGCTGAGCAGTCTGCTCAACATAACCCTCACCACGGAGACGGTGACGCGGACAATCAATCGGTATGTGACGATCCGCGCTGGCTCCCAGGAGCCGGGCAGCAGCGCAAGCGTAACCGTAGGCGACAGTGTGCTGCTCACCTTCACGGAGGCAGTGCGTCAGGGCTTCATCGACGAGGACAGACAGCTGTTCAAGGACCCCAAGACGGGCAACATTTACTCGGTGCAGCAGGCCCTCAACTACGGCCTGCTGGTGCCCGACAGCAATCAGACAGTTGCCGGAGATAACGAACCGCAAGAAGACCAAGTCGACCATCACGATTGTCACCAAACAGATCCTGCCCGAGGCGGAGCCCATCAAGCTGAACACCCAGCAAACGCACACCAAGTACGTGGAGAAATCCGTGGAGATACCCATCTCCCAGGAGATGGTGAGCACCAGCAGCCGCCAAATGCATCAGGAGCAGAACGTAACGGAGCGACAGATCATGGAACTGCCGCCAGGTGGCTGGCGTCTCAAGGATGCCATCGAGCAGCGGCTGTTCAATCCCGATTCGGGTGTGTTCCATGTCCAGGGCACCGATCGGTTGGTCAGCTTTGAGGAGTGCATCGATAAGCAGATCATCAACAATCTGTCGGTCTCTGTGCTGGATCCACAAAGCACCACACACAGCGACAAGCTCTCTGTGAAGTCCGCCTTCGAGCGGAAGATCCTGGACAGCTATGGAAACTACACGAACAGCCGCCAGCAGGTCCTAGGCATGCGCAGTGCCATAGACGAGGGCAAGATCATACTGGAGACGGTGCCCGCCACGCGGGGCTCAAACCAAAAGACGATCCTGCGCATAACGAGGGTGAACAACATGCCGGATGTGCTGGAGGTATCCACCCCGCTGAAGGATGCACCGCCCAAGTTTCTGGAGGTGAGAACCTGTCAGCGAGAGCTGGCCTCGCCCGAGCCCTTGCAAATTGCTCCCGGGGCCATCTACGATCCGTCCACAGCTCTGGTGATCTTCACACAGACCGGGGAGACGGAGAACGTCTTTGATGCGGCCCGCCTGGGACTGATCGACGAGCAGCTGATCAAGATAATCGATCCCACCACCCGGCAGGAGATTTCCGTAACCGAAGCGATTGCACGCTCTGTCTACGATCCGCGTACGGCCACCATACTGAATGCGGAAGGTCAGCCCGTGGATTTGATAACAGCCACTAGGCTGGGACTTCTCAGCGTGGTTGGTGCCCCACTGGTGGCCGCTGAGGGAGCTCTGCGAACCGTGCGCTTTGTCACAGATCCGCGCACGGGCGAGCAGATACCCGTGGAGGTGGCCTACGAGCGGGGAATTGTCTCACGGGATCAGCGCTCCTTTGACAGCCAACCATCGCCAGTGCACGAGGAGAGGGAGAAGGACAAGGACAAGGACAAGGTGGTGGTGCTGCAGAAGATGCGCAAGATCATATTGAAGCCGAGGGATGCCTTGCGCAAGGGCATCATTGACGAGGAGACCTGCCGGATAATGGAGGACACTAAAAACTTTACCAGCCCCCAGGGCGAGGTGATCAACATCAGCGAGGCCCTGAGCACGGGTCTGATCGATGGCCGTCGTGGCCAAATCATCGATCCGCAGAGCAATCGAGTGCTGAATATCCGCCAGGCGGTGGAGCAGAAGATCATCGACCCCGAGCAGACGAACCACATCCTCATGCCGCTGGCCAAGAGCCTGTCCGTGCCCAGACTGGCCTCGCAGGGTCTCATCGATCCGCAGAGCCAGACGATTGTGCACCCGGAGAGCGGCTATCCCCTGAGCATACACGAGGCGATCGTCTGCGAAGTGCTGGACCCACACTCGCGGCTGCAGAAGCCCGAGAAGTGCACGCTAGAGGAGGCCATCGAGAAGGGTATAATCAACGCGGATGAGTCCACATTTGGCTACAAGAACAAGACCCTGAACATAACCGAAGCCATTGAGGCAAAGCTCTTTGATGCCAGCTACGATCAGCAGAAGCCCAAGGTGGACATTCCGCCCGTGGGCATGATATTTCCCGTGGCCGTGGAACGGAGTCTGGTGGAGCCCACCAAGGGTGTGGTCCTGTTTCCTTGGGCCAAGCTGAAGCCAGTGCCCCTTAAGCAGGCCGTCGAGGAGAACTTCATCATGTCCATACCGTACGCACCGAAGCCCCACGCCATCGAAGTGGTGGCCGCCCTGGAGCGAGGCCTCATCGATGTGGCAGGCCACACGATGACTGTGCCCGCCACTGGCGAGCGTCTGTCCCTGCGCCAAGCTCTGGAGACCGGTGAACTTGTGGTGAAGCATCTATCTGACTTTGTGGTCACCCAGCGGCCCATCCCAAAGACAGAGATCATGGAGACAGTGCGAGCCGTGCACACGGTGACCACCAAGACCATTGAACTGATGCAGGGCTATGTGCTCGTCTCGAACAACGAGGTGCAGAACGTCCACACGGGCGAGCTGTGCAGCCTGGAGGAGGCCAAGGAGCAGGGCATCCTGCGTGAGGAATCGACAACGCGTGAGACAAAGGCAGCCGTTGGCGAGGATCCCAGCAGTAGCAGCAGCAGCAGCAGAAGCAGCGATCAGCAGACGGTGGAGGTCGTGGAGGAGCGCACACAGACAGTGGTCGTCAGCTCGGACAGCCACAAGCAGGAGATGCAGGTGGTCAGCACCACCAAGTCCACAAAAGAGGTGCCAGCACTACCACAAACCCAATTGGAGACGAAGGAGCCATCGAAAACCCTGCAGAATGTCAAGGATGCTGCCAAGTTGGGTGCCCTGGGAGTTATTGCAGCCCCCGTCCTGGCGGGCGGAGCCATCGTAAGCGGTGTCAAGAGTCTCATCAAGTCTGTGAAGTCTCCCGCGGAAGATGCCAACAAGTCCAACAAGGACAAGCCACAACAACCTCAAGAGAGCTTCATTGAACAGGAGCGTCAGCAGCTCCAACCAGTGCCAAGTGAAGTCGATAGACTCCTGGACGAAACGCAGACATTTATCAGTACCACAACTGCCAATTTCATAGCCAATGAGCAGCAGCAGCAGCAACAGCAACAGCCAAAGGAGCAGCCCCAAGTGGAGGTTCCTTCATCCGATTCAGATGTGGAAACGACAAGCACACTGACAACCACAACGGTCACAACCATAACTACCTCAAAGAGCGCAACGGAAACGACCAGTGAACCGGAGCCAGATATTGTGGTGGAAGAAGTGGAGACTGTCCAGGAGGAGAAACCAGTGCCAGAAAAGACGAGGGCATTGGAAGAGCCAAGGGCAGAGCAGGTTATTAAGGTAACTGAAACGATCACAACAGTGACTACAAAGGAGTCTGATCCAGAACTAAAGGATGACACGATCACAACAAAGGAGCCTGTTCCAGAATTAAAGGATGCAACTCCGGAGAAATTGAAGGAGAAGCAAGAACAGCCAGCAGCCGAGACAGATCCGAAAGCAGCAACTCCAGAGATTGCACAAAAAGAAACAGTTCCAGAGGTTGCACAAAAAGAAACAACTCCCGAGGCAGCGAAGAGGCAACCCATTCCCGAACCCACAAAGGAACCTACTCCACAGCCAGCTGAAAAGCCAGAGCCCAAACCGAGAACCGCTCCAAGAGAAGAGGTGCCCGAATTCGAGCCTCCTTTCGTAGCTCCCTTGGCGCCGTTTGCAGAAGGCCCCACTGACACACAGGCAAAGGTAACCGAAACCATAACTGAAATTCAAGAGCAGCAGCCAATATCAAGCTCCCAAACTGTGACGACAACTGTAACGACCACAGTAAGAACCGTCGAAGAGCAACCCACGGTTGAGATCGAAGTGACTGTGCAGCCTGAAGAGATTGTGGAAGTGCAACAGGTACAGCCATCCGTTCCAGAGCCAACAAAAGACGATAAACCCGATGAAATTTTGGAAGACTCTGCTGCGAATGCCACCGAGCAACCTTCTACCATAGTTGTGGAAGAAAGAGTTGTAACGGTGGAGGAGCCAACTATCACGGAATCCACAGTAACCACGACAACAATTACCACCACCAGCAGCAGCACAACAACAGCAACAACCAGCGAAGATCAGCAGGAGGAGCCCCAGCAGCAGGTGGAGATTGTGGTAACAGAAACTGTGAAAGAAAAACCTGTGGAAGAGCAAGAGCTGCCCATCAAGACAACCGAAACAGTGACCACAAAGACAATCATTGGCGGTGAAGAGAAGAAACCTCAAGAACCGGGACAACTGGAGCAAATAGTTCAGCCCCCGACGACTACGGATAAGCATCAGACAGTTGTCGATTTCATTGAGGGCGAGAAGACACCAGGAAAAGGCAGCAACATTCTGCAGAATGTCAAGGATGCCGCCAAGCTGGGAGCCCTGGCCATTGTGGGTGCGCCTGTGCTGGCTGGGAAGGCATTGGTCGATGCACTCACAACTACAGAATCCACCCAATCCCCATCCCTTTCACAAAAGGGACCACAAGAGAGCCAGACCCAGACCCAGAGCAGCAGCACAACAACAGTGACGACAGTGACAACTACTTCCACGTTGACTTCGTCGGAGAGTACGCCCTATGATGAGTCTCGCGATGTTGTGGCCGAACCAACAGCTCCATCATCAGCAGAGTCAAACATCAAACGGGATGTGCCCAAGACACTGGCCATTGGGGATGCCATTTCCCAGAAACTAATCAGTCCCGACGAGTGCCAGGTGATCGTGGACGGGGAGCAGCAAACGGAGACAGTGTCCACGCTGCTGCGGGAGGAGCAGCTGAGTCCGCTGGACGAGGTGCAGATCATTGATGACAAACTGATTGTGCTGCAGCAGATATCCTACCTGGTGGACGTGGACACCGAACTGACGGCCGAGCGGCTGAGCGAACTGAACATTTACGACACGGAGAATCAGTACTTCATCGATCCCTCAACGGGCCAGAAGATATCCTTCCAGAGTCTGGTGTTCGACATGAACATCTTCAATCCCGAGTGCATTTTGGTCAAGAACTTTAGCACGGGCAAGTACGAGACTTTGACGGCGGCTCTGGAGCGTCCATTGCTGGACAGGCACACCGGCCACATGGTCGATCCGAAGACCGGGAAGAAGATCCCCTTCTTCGAGTGCATTGCCCGTCAGTGGATCATCCGCTCGAATCCTGAGGTTGAGCGACCGGCGGGCTTCGAGAACGTGTCAATTGACGAGGAGACGGGCCATGTGGTGCTGGACGATGGTCGGGCTTGCTCCATTGTTGACGCCATCAACAGTGGCAAGCTGGACATCCAGTCGATATCGGTGCGCGACCCAGTCAGCGGCGAGGTAATCCCCCTGCGTATGGCAATCGAGTTGGGGGTGGTCGACATGCAGTCGGGCACGGTGATAGACATACAGACGCTCAAGGAGATACCCATGGAGGAGGCCTTCCAGCTGGGCTTCCTTGTGCCCGGCGCACGAAAGCCCATCTCCCTGGAAGCGGCCGTGCGCAAGGGTCTCTACGACCCGGAGACGGGCAAGCTCTTCGACTCGGAGAGTCAGAACCAGGTGGATGTGCAAAAGTCCATCGAAATTGGTCTGGTCGATCCAAAGATCTCTCTGATCGTGGACACAATGACCCAAAAGGAGCTGAAGCTGGACTGTGCCATCGAGGATGATCTGGTGCTGCCGGCCACGGGCCAGATCAAGGACAGCAAGAACAATACGCTCGTGCCCTTTGACCTGGGCATCGAACAGCGTCTGCTGAAGACGGACAGCGTGACGTGGAGCCTGCCGGAAGTGCTGCAGCGGGAATACTACGCGCCCAGCACCGGCAAGGTGCTGAATCCCGTCACTGGCGAGGAGATACTCCTGCAGCAGGCCATCGAGATGGGCTTTGTGGAGCTGGAGACGACGCTGGTCAAAGATGCCGAGCATGACAGGATTGTGCCGGGCAAGGAGGCGGCCAGGGTGGGGCTGCTGGACACGGTGCGCGGCACCCTCAGCTCCCCCCACATGAGCCTCGATGAGGCGTTCGTCAAGGGCTATCTGATCAGCACCAAGAAGCCCCTGTCGCTAGTCGATTGCCTGCTGCGTGGTCTGTACGATCCTTTGACAGCCACCTTCACCATCGACGACGACAACAAGCAGCTGGACCTCAAGTCCGCCATTGCCCAGAAGCTCATCAATCCCGATGAGCTGGTGCTGCTCGATCCGAAGACCGAGTCGATTATCTCGATAACCGAGGCCATTGCCAAGGGCTATCTGGATCCCATTGGGGGCTATGTGATTAATCCGTATGCCTCCACCAAGCTGTCGCTCCACGAAGCCCTCGAGAATCGCATCCTCATTCCGGCCAAGCGCAAGCGCAGTCTGCCCGACGCCGTCTACCGGGGTCTATACGATCCGAAGACGGGCCAATTCAGCAACACCATCACGCGGGAGAAGCTCACAACCGAACGTGCCATTCGTAGGGGTATACTCGATCCCGATTCGACGGTCGTCCGCCTGCCGTCCGGCCAGATTATTCCCTTTGGCGTGGCCGCCGATCGGGGCATTGTGGACAGCCAGCAGGGCACCGTGAGGGACGACGAGGAGAAGGCGATTGACTTCAAGGAGGCCTTCGATAGGGGTGTCCTGGTGGAGGCCAAGAAGCCGCTGCGCCTCATCGAGGCTGTCGTGAAGAATGTTTACGATGAGGTGGACGGACACTTTGTGGATCCCAAGTCGGGCGAAAAACTGAACTTTGCCGAGGCCCTCGACACCAATCTGCTGGACGAGCACAGCGTTCAGATACGCGACTTCAAGACGGGCCTGTACAAGCAGCTGAATCTGACGCATGCCAAGGACGCGGGCATCATCGATGCCCAGAACGCCAAGCTGCTGTACAACAACCAGACCATGACCCTCAAGCACGCCTTCGACATTGGCATCCTGATGGACGTGAATGCGCCCATCAGCCTCCAGCGGGCCATACATCAGGGACTATTCGACGACAAAACCGGCAAGCTGAGCGATCCCCGCAGTGGTCGACAGATCACGCTGCTCGAGGGCATGCGCAGCTTCGTCATTAATCCCCATCTGCCGTGCTACTTTGACGAACAGACAGAGCAACTGTACAGCCTCAGCGAGACGTGCCGCATGGGCATAATTAACCGCAGGGAGGGGGTCTTTAGGGAGCCGGACAGCAGTAGTTTTGTGAGTCTGGGGGAGGCCCTCAGTCTCGGCCTGATCGTGGACATTGAGAACGCCGGCTTTGGGCTGTACGAGCTGCTCTCCATGGGCTTCTACGATGTGGCCACGCGTAAGGTTCGGCATCCGGTGACCGGCCGCAAACTGAACCTGAACGAGGCCTGCGTCGAGGATGTGGTCAGCCTGTCGTCCAGCCTGGTCAAGCACCACGCCACGGGCAAGTATCTGCGGCTGGCCAATGCCATCAAGGAGCAGCTGATCGACGATTCGAGGGGCTGCTATAATCTCGGCAGCTCCGAACAGATCGATCTGCAGACAGCCCGGGCACGGGGTCTCATAGTTTCCAACCGTCGCCTGCTCAGCCTCGAACTGGTGCTCCGCCAGCAGCTGTATCGCCCCGAAACGGGCAAATTCTGTGATCCCACAACGGGTGAATATCTCGACCTCATCGAGGCCATTCATGCAGGGTTCATAGATCCCGCGAGCACCGTGTTCAAGAACCAGCTCACCGGCAAAGAGCTGCCCCTAACCGAAGCCATCGAAAACGGAGACATCGACGTGTCCAAGGGCCGCGTATTTGATCCCAAATCGAAATCTGCCTACAACTATGATGTGGCACTCGCGCGCGGTATACTCGTGACCATCGTGCGTCCTCTCACCGATCGCAGCGAGGTTGTCCGTCGACAGGACAGCGTCGAGCTGCTCGGCCAGACGCCCGTGAGCGTTGTGATCAGCAAGCCGCGCGAAATGTCTCTCGATGAGGCCATTCGGTACAATATAATCGATCCCAAGACGGCGCTCGTGCGCGACTTTGATAGCTTCAAATTCCTGCCCTATGCGGTGGCCCAGGAACGCGGTCTCGTCGACACCACCAAGCGCACACTAGTCGATCCGAAGGCCCTTTACTTTGCCTTCGATCCCACGCTGATTGTTTATGTGCGCGAGCCGGTCACCTTTGACCAGGCGGCCGAGTCCAAGAGCCTGGATTTGGCAACCGGAATGCTAAGCTATGTGCCAGCCGGAGGATCCGCCAGCAACAGCAGTGATGACAGCGCAAACGATTCACTGACTGTCATCGAGACGCCCAGGGTATACACGCTCAAGGAGGCCGCCAGTGCGGGCATTGTGGATCCCGATTCGGCCCTGGTTAAGGATCTGGCCAAGGCGAAGCTAGTGCGACTGCCAGAGGCCTTCCGCAAGGGCCTCATGGATGCCAACAAGGCCAATGTGCTGAACACACAAACCTCCAAGCTGTGCACCCTGCAGGAGGCCTACGAGAGCGGCCTGATCTGCACACCCAAGCGGTCGTTCGGTCTGCTAGAGGCCATCACCTTCAACCTGTACAATCCCACGAACGGCTGCCTGGTTGATCCCTTCCAAATGCATCCCGACATCATTCGACGCAAGAAATTCACACTGGCCGAGGCCATTGCCTCGGGCCTGGTGGATCCCTCCTCGACAGTGGTGCGTGATCCCAGCTCTGGGGTCATCCTGCCACTGGCGGCTGCCATTGGCAGCGGCCTGATCGATGCCACCGCGGGCCGCCTGACCATCAGCGATGCCCAAGAGCCCAAGCAGAACATCGATCTGGTCAGGGCTGCCGAGAAGGGTCTGCTGCTGCCAGCCGAACAGAGGGTAAGTCCAAGTCCAGTCCATCGTATGATTTTCCAATCAATTTCCAATCACAAACCGATCGTTCGAGATCACGGAAATTACAGAACCAACAAAATTTATTTTAATTCTAAAGCTTTGTTCGTGGCATGTGTTTTTTTTTTCTTTTGGTATATTTTACGAATACAAATTGTATTGAAACATTTACTTTTTTGATCAGCGCGCTGTCTCTATCTAAATCTATATCTATATCTCATCAGACTAACCCAAACAGATGTGAGAGAGAGTTTCGCTTCTTTCAACTGTTTCGCTCAAACAGTTTCTCTTTTTGTTGTGCAAATCATATTTATTATTATATATTATTTTGCAAATCTCTTATATTGCAGCGCATGGCATTCAGTTTTATGTTCTATAATCGATACTCGACTCTCGTACATATATATCGTTTAATTCCGCTGAGCTGAGCTCTCACGCTTTAAGCAGGCCACAGATCACAGACCACAGATCACAGATCACAGCATATAATGTCAGCAGATCACATACCATATCCACAGATCAGATCCATCCATAAATCGTACTATCGGGCGAAAGAAATGCGTCGTCTCATACTCCTCCAAACATAAATGACGTCGGCAATAAGACAACATACTCAATCAATCAATCAATCAATATTCAATACTCTATTCTATATATACTGTCTATAACACTAGCATACAACACTCTTCACACCACCTCCCATATCTACATATATCCATAACATATATCCAAAGACAATTTAATAATAAGATGTGTAACGAAGAAGCCCCAAAACGCTGCAATCAAAGTCCATCAAATACCTAGATATTGCATCAGTAATAAATTCCATTTTAATTTTGAATAAAAAATTTGAAAAATTTTGTTGCCTCATGCAACATCTTGGTACTTGTGTAGCCTTTGCCACAATGCAGCTCTATTCCTGCCTGGCTCTCCCGTGCTTTGTAGCTCGTGGCCTGCAGGAAGAGACTAAAATGTACAGCAAATAATGCAACATCTTATTATTAAAATGTCTTTGCTCATAGCCATGCTCTCGTCCTATTTCTATATTCCATTATACTCTGCTATCCCCCATTTGTATCCTAGGGAGTATCTTCTTTATCTTTCATGTAGGCTCTCCTCAACCAGATCAGACTGTGTGGCTGACACTTGCAACCTTAGTGTGTGGCTTACAGTCTAATCTGAGTGTGTTTAGTTGCTATCATTTGCTCTTAGTTTTGGACTAGCGTAATGTTCTTTTACTATTTTCCATCCCCCTCCAACTAGCCCAGAATTTAGCTATTATTTATCCATACATTTTGTTTAAATGCCAACTTTTCTACCTATTTTTCAGCATATATACCATACATATATATATATTTTTTTTATATATTATTTCGTTTGCAGTTTTTTTATTTGAAAATAAAAACAAAGATACCAAAATTAACCCTAACCGAAAAACCCATAAAAAACCAATAAACAAAAACCAAACTGAAACCAAAAACCAAAAACATTAAACCGTAGTTAGTGCCCACTAAAAGTAGTATCCCCCAACCCCCCAACTAGTGCTTGTTCCTAGTAGTAGTAGCTGTATTAGTAGTACATATTATTTAGTAATATGAGTAATCATTTGGTGTTTGTGCGTCTTTATTTTTATTATAATTATTTTATGGTTTATGTTGAATGCTTTTTAAAACCGCTTTTGCCCCAAGTCCTTTTGCTTTTCGGCTGCTCCCAAAAAACAAACAAATTGTTCTTTCAGCTTTTATGTTTGTGTTTCCTTTATATATATTTTGTGTTCCATTTATCTATCGACCTATATATATATACATTTACATATATATCTTTCAATGAACCCCCCCACCAATATACTCTAGCGACCTGTAAATCGAGCCAAGAACTTTTTACAAATATTTCTATCAGCATTCTAATGATGAACTTTTTATCTCCCCACCCCCGTCGACATGTACCCTTTTTATGTCTATATAGCAAGCAGTATTCGAAAAGTTCAACATGTGCGAGGAGAATGTCAATGATCTGCTGAAATGGGTCACCTCCGTCGAACAGAAAATCTCAAGTGTTGGAGGACCTCGCGAGAAAATCGATGAGCTACGCAACCAGATCAATGCCCTCAAGGTGAGTGTTACTGCAACTGGGGCAGTAGCAGCACCATCCTTTATCCTTTCGTAAACCCTTCTGATACATGATTCTCGTTTAACAGCAAATCAAGGACGAGATCGAGTCTCAGCAGCGACCGGTAGCCACTTGCTTGGAACAAATCAGGCAGATTGTGCTCACTGGCGGCGATGTCCTATCCGCCCCAGAGGTGACCACTCTGGAGAATTCCGGACGGGAGCTGCGATCGCGCGTAGATCGTGTCAACGATCGCACAGTGCGTCTGCTGCGTCGCCTGGAGGCGGGCAGGGATGAGCTCACGAAGCTGCGCAGCGAACTGGATGTGTTCTCCGACTGGCTGCAAATGGCCAGGCGCACACTCGAGGACAAGGAGCGCTCGCTGTCGGATCTGACACGACTCGGTTCGCAGGCGGACTCCATCCGGGAGTTTGTCAGCGATGTGATTGGCCATCAGGCCGATCTGCGCTTTATCACCATGGCCGCACAGAAGTTTGTGGACGAGAGTAAGGAGTTCCTGGGCATTCTCAACGATTTCCGCACTTCGCTGCCGGAGCGTCTGCCCCATGTGGAGCCGCTGGCCAGTGCCGAGAGTCCCATACGGCAGGAGGTGTCGCTCGTGTCCGCCCAGTACAAGGATCTGCTGAATCGCGTGAATGCACTGCAGGATCGCGTCTCCGGCCTTGGCGGACGCCAAAGGGAGTATCAGGATGCGCTGGACAAGGCCAGCGAGTGGCTGAGGAGCGTGCATCCGCGCGTGTCTCGGCTCATCTCCGAGCCGATTGCCGGCGACCCAAAGGCCGTCCAAGACCAGATGAACGAGGCCAAGGCTCTGCACAACGAGCTCCTCTCAAGCGGCCGCCTGGTGGACAACGCCCAGCAGGCGCTCGACAACCTTCTGCGCAGCCTCGGCGGCCAGCTCAGTCCCATGGAGATCAACCAACTGGAGCTGCCCATCGCCGACCTCAAGCAGAGCTACCAGCAGCTGCTGGACAACCTGGGCGAGCACTGCAAGAATCTCGACAAGACGCTCGTGCAGTCGCAGGGCGTGCAAGACGCCCTCGATAGCCTAGGTGGCTGGGTCGGACAGGCGGAGGACAAGTACAAACTCAACCTGCGCCCCGCCTCGCTCATCAAGGAGCGCCTACAGGAGCAGATACGCGAGCACAAGGTGCTGCTGGCCGATCTGCAGTCGCACCAGGCCAGCATCGACAGCGTTCAGATCTCGGCCAAGCATCTGCTGGCCAGCGCCTCGAATGCGCGCATCGCCAAGAAGGTGGAAGCCAATCTGAACGACGTCACCGGCAAGTTTGAGAAGCTCTACGAAAAGGTGAACAAGCGGGGCGAGTTCCTGGACGATGTGTATGGCCGCCTCAGCCGGTATCTGGACGAGATCAGCACCGTGGAGCAGCGCATGGGCAGCCTGCAGGAGGCGCTGGACAGTCGCGAGACCAGTCTGCTGTCCACCGAGGAGCTGGCCCGTCGCATGCACGATCTGTCGCGCGACAAGGATCAGCTGGCGCCGCAGTTTGAGGATTGTGTGCGCCAAGGCAGGGATCTGATTGGTCTGCGCGATGTCACGGACACAGGAGCCCTGCGGGATCGCATCAAGGCCCTGGAGTCGCAGTGGCGCAACATCAACATCAGCATCGATGAGCGTGCGAAGCTGTCCAAGCAGAAGGCCGAGCAGCAGCTCGCCTACGAGGGACTCAAGGATCAGGTGCTCTCCTGGCTGGCCAGCACGGAGGCGCGCGTCAACGGTCTGCCGCCGGTGGCCATCGATCTGGACCGCATTCGGCAGCAGCACGACGAACTGAAGCCCATATGCAAGGACTATCGCGACTACGCGCCCACCATTGACAAGATCAACGATGTGGGAGCGCAGTACGATGCCCTGATTCGGCCCGAGAGCCCCGCCCGCAAACGGTCCACGTACAGCCCAATCAAGCGGACGAGCCCGCTGCGACGCATGTCCGGAGCAGAGCAGAACGCGAGGAGCCCCAGCCCCACCAAGGGAGGCATTCTGTCGCCACTATCGACTGGTTCCAGTGGATTCGGTAGCCGCAGATCCTCTCAGGACGGTTTCCAGCTGTCGGAGCTGTCGCCCGTGCAGCAGCAGCTGAGCGAGATCAACAATCGCTACGGGCTGATTGGCGTGCGGCTCAACGATCGCCAGCACGAGCTGGACAACCTGAGCGAGGAGCTGCGCAAGCAGTACGAGAACCTCAAGGGGCTGGCCCAGTTCCTCGATCGCATTCAGCGCCAGGTGCCCAAGGAGTCGGTGTCCAACAAGGAGGAGGCCGAGCGCTGCATCAAGCAGGCGCGCAAGATCCTGGAGGACATGTACGAGAAGCAGAGTCTGCTGGACACCACCAAGGCCCAGGTCAAGGACATACTGCGACGCAAATCGGATGTGCCCGGCGCCGAGCAGCTGCGCCTCGAAAACGATAGCATCCAGGAGAAGTGGAAGAATCTCAACGACATCTGCAAGAACCGCATCGCCTTTGCGGAGAAGTTGCGCGACTTCCTCGACACCCACGGCAACCTCAAGGGCTGGCTGGATAGCAAGGAGCGCATGTTGACGGTCCTGGGACCCATCTCCTCCGATCCACGCATGGTTCAGAGCCAGGTGCAGCAGGTGCAAGTGCTCCGCGAGGAGTTCCGCACCCAGCAGCCGCAGCTGAAGCATTTGCAGGATCTGGGACACGATGTGGTCGACCATTTGGCCGGCACACCCGATGCCCAGGCAGTCGAGATTAAGCTCAAGGACATTCTCGGCAAGTGGGAGGATCTGGTGGGCAAGCTGGACGATCGGGCCAACAGCCTGGGCGGCGCCGCCGACAGTTCCAAGGAGTTCGATGCGGCCGTCAATCGGCTGCGCGAGGCCCTGCAAAACATCAGCGACAGCCTGGACACCCTACCTCTGGATGGAGATCACCAGGAGAATCTGCGCAAGATCGAGAACCTGGAGCGACAACTGGAGGGCCAACGGCCGCTCCTGGCCGACGTAGAACAGTCGGCGGCCACGCTCTGCAACATTCTCGGGGATCCAGCCTCGCGCGCCGATGTCAATAGCCGCGTGGCTGCCCTGGAGAAGCAGTATTTGGCGCTCCAAAAGAAGCTGGACACCAAGAAGGCCGAGACAGAGGCCTCCCTTCGCGATGGCCGTCACTTTGCCGAGAACTGCTCCAAGACCCTCGGCTGGCTGTCGGGTGAGCTTTCGAACCTGAGCGATCGCCTGCTGGTCTCGGCCCACAAGCCGACGCTGCAGCACCAGATCGACACGCACGAGCCCATCTACCGCGAGGTAATGGCCCGCGAGCATGAGGTAATTATGCTCATCAACAAGGGCAAGGATCTGTCTGACCGGCAGCAGGATCGCGGTGTAAAGCGCGATCTGGAGCGCATCCAGCAGCAGTGGGAGAAGCTGCGTCGCGAGGCCGTCGATCGGCACACGCGCCTGCAGACCTGCATGGAGCACTGCAAGAAGTACTCGCAGACCTCGGAGACATTCCTCGCCTGGCTGCGCACCGCAGAGGACAAGCTGTCCGATCTCACGCCCGGCGTGCTGTCCAAGGCGAAGCTGGAGACGCGACTGCGCGACCTGCAGACCTTCCGCAGCGAGGTGTGGAAGCATTCCGGAGAGTTTGAGAACACCAAGGGACTGGGCGAGACGTTCCTCAGCAGCTGCGACATCGACAAGGAGCCCATCAAGGCCGAGCTGCAGGATATACGCGATCGCTGGGAGCGCCTCAACAACGACCTCATTGCGCGTGCCCACGAGATTGAGAACTGCTCGCGTCGCCTGGGCGACTTTAACGATGAGCTGCGCAATCTGGATCATTCGCTGGGCCGTTGCGAGGATCGCCTCGCCGCCCACGATGCTCTGGGTGGAGCTGCCAAGGATCCCAAGCTGCTGGAGCGTGTCAAGGCCATACGCGAGGAGCTGACAAATCTGAGCAAGCCTCTGCAATCGCTCAAGGCTCTGGCCAAGGACATAAGCGCCGAGGCTAGAGCTGCCGGTGGCGATGCCGATCATCTGACCAACGAAGTGGACGGCCTGGCCGATCGCCTCTCGGAGTTGCAAGGACGCCTGGATGACCGTTGCGGCGAGCTGCAGTCGGCTGCCACAGCCGTATCTCAGTTCAACGAGCAAATGAAGAGTCTGGGCATCGACCTGAACGACCTGGAGACGGAGATTGAGAAGCTGTCGCCGCCCGCACGCGAAATCAAGATTGTGCAGCAGCAGCTGGACGATGTTGGCAAGATTCAGAACAGGCTGGACCGCCTGGTGGGTCGCCTCGAAGATGCCGAACGTGCCGCCGATGTCCTGGTGGATGCTGGCTTTGCCGCAGACACCACTCAGACGCGCGAGCAAATCTCCACGTTACGCAAGACGCTGGGACGCCTGGACAATCGTGTGAAGGATCACGAGGACAATCTGCAGGGCACGTTGAAGGCCCTGCGCGAGTTCTACGACAACCAGTCGCAGATCCTTGACGACATCCAGGACGTCAGTGAGGAGTTCAAGCGCATGAAGCCGGTGGGCTCCGAGCTGGATCAGATACGACGCCAGCAGGAGGACTTCCGTCAGTTCAGAGAGCGCAAGGTGGAGCCGCTGGCCCTCAATGTGGACAAGGTGAATGTGGCCGGACGGGATCTGGTGCGGTCTGCCGGTACCGGAGTCTCGACCAGCACGATCGAGAAGGATCTGGAGAAGCTGAACGATCGCTGGAATGACCTGAAGGAGCGCATGAACGAGCGCGACCGTCGCCTGGACGTGGCCCTTTTGCAGTCGGGCAAGTTCCAGGAAGCCCTCGCCGGCCTCTCCAAGTGGCTGAGCGACACCGAGGAGATGGTGGCCAACCAGAAGCCGCCCAGCTGCGACTACAAGGTGGTCAAGGCCCAGTTGCAGGAGCAAAAATTCTTGAAAAAAATGCTCCTCGATCGCCAGAATTCCATGGGCTCCCTGGCCAATCTCGGCCAGGAGGTGGCCAACCATTGCGAGCCCTCCGAACGGGCGTCCATCGAGAAGCAGCTGAACGATCTGATGAAGCGATTCGATGCCCTCACGGACGGTGCCGAGCAGCGCGAACAGGACTTGGAGGAGGCCATGGAGGTGGCCAAGCGGTTCCACGACAAGATCAGTCCCCTCGAGGTGTGGCTGGATGGCACGGAGCGTGCCGTCAAGTCAATGGAACTGATACCCACCGACGAGGAGAAGATACAGCAGAGGATACGCGAGCACGACCGCCTGCACGACGAGATTCTCGGCAAGAAGCCCGACTTTACCGACCTGGCCGATGTGGCCGCCCAGCTGATGCATCTCGTCAGCGACGAGGAGGCCGTTAATCTCGGCGAGAAAGTGCGCGGCGTCACAGAGCGCTACACCGGACTGGTGGATGCCAGCGACAACATTGGCGCCCTGCTCGCCGAATCCCGCCAGGGACTGCGTCACTTGGTACTCAGCTACCAGGATCTGGTGGCCTGGATGGAGAGCATGGAGAACGAGCTGAAGCGCTTCAAGTCTGTGCCCGTGTACGCCGAGAAGCTGCTCGAGCAGATGGACCATCTGCTGGAGCTCAACGAGAACATTGCCGGCCACGCATCGAATGTGGAGGCCACCGTGGAGTCTGGGGCCGAGCTGATGAAGCACATCTCCAACGATGAGGCTATTCAGCTGAAGGACAAGCTCGACTCGCTGCAGCGTCGCTACGGCGATCTGACCAATCGCGGGGGGGATCTGCTGAAGAGCGCCCAGAATGCCCTGCCGCTGGTGCAGCAATTCCACGAGGCGCACAACCGTCTAGTCGAGTGGATGCAAACCGCGGAGACGGCGCTGGCACCCAGCGAGCCCCGTCAGGCGGATGTCCTGCGACTGGAGGGTGAACTGGCCGACATGCGTCCCATTCTGGACACCATCAACCAGGTGGGACCGCAGCTGGGACAGATGTCGCCCGGCGAGGGAGCGGCCACCATCGAGAGCATTGTGACGCGCGACAACCGGCGCTTTGACTCCATCGTGGAGCAGATTCAGCGCAAGGCCGAGCGGCTGCATTTGAGCAACCAGCGGGCCAAGGAGGTGACCGGCGACATTGATGAGCTGCTCGAGTGGTTCCGCGAGATGGACACCACGCTGCGCGAAGCCGATCATCCGGCCATGGAGCCGAAGCTGGTGCGTGCCCAGCTGCAGGAGCATCGCTCGATCAACGACGACATCTCCAGTCAGAAGGGACGCGTGCGCGACGTCACTGCTGCCTCGAAGAAGGTGCTGCGGGAGTCGCCGCAGAGCGAGAACACGGCCACGCTGCGCGAGAAGCTGGATGACCTCAAGGAGATCGTCGACACGGTGGCGCAGCTGTGCAGCGAGCGACTGGGAATTCTGGAGCAGGCTCTGCCCCTGTCGGAGCACTTTGCCGACTCGCACCAGGGCCTCACCGCCTGGCTGGACGACATGGAGCAGCAAATCTCCCGCCTGAGCATGCCCGCTCTGCGTCCCGACCAAATCACACTGCAACAGGACAAGAACGAGCGTCTGCTGCAGTCCATTGCGGAGCACAAGCCGCTCCTGGACAAGCTGAACAAGACGGGCGAGGCACTGGGTGCGCTGGTGGCCGACGAGGACGGCTCAAAGATCAACGAGATCCTCGACACGGACAACGCCCGCTATGCCGCCCTCCGGCTGGAGTTGCGCGAGCGCCAGCAGGCGCTGGAGAGTGCTCTGCAGGAGTCCAGTCAGTTCTCCGACAAGCTGGAGGGAATGCTGCGTGCCCTGGCCAACACAGTGGATCAGGTGAACCAGTTGGATCCGCTGTCCGCCCTGCCGCAGAAGATACGCGAGCAGATCGAGGACAATGACGCTCTGATGGATGACCTGGACAAGCGACAGGATGCATTCAGCGCTGTGCAGCGGGCGGCCAACGATGTCATTGCCAAGGCGGGCAACAAGGCCGATCCGGCCGTGCGCGACATCAAGGCCAAGCTGGAGAAGCTCAACAATCTGTGGAACGATGTGCAGAAGGCCACCAAGAAGCGCGGCAGCTCGCTGGATGATATCCTGAGCGTGGCCGAGCCCTTCTGGAAGCAGCTCAACAGCGTGATGAAGACCCTCAAGGATCTGGAGGAGACGCTCTCCTGCCAGGAGCCGCCGGCAGCCCAGCCGCAGGACATCAAGAAGCAGCAGGTAGCACTGCAGGAGATCCGCCATGAGATCGACCAGACCAAGCCGGAGGTCGAGCAGGTGCGCCGTCATGGCAGCAACCTGATGAACATGTGCGGCGAGCCCGACAAGCCCGAGGTGAAGAAGCACATCGAAGACCTGGACAATGCCTGGGACAACATCACGGCGCTGTATGCCAAGCGCGAGGAGAACCTCATCGATGCCATGGAGAAGGCCATGGAGTTCCATGAGACGCTCCAGAATCTGCTCAAGTTCCTCACCAAGGCCGAGGACAAGTTTGGCCATCTGGGACCCGTGGGCTCCGACATTGATGCCGTCAAGCGACAAATTGAACAACTCAAATCGTTCAAGGATGAAGTCGATCCGCATATGGTGGAAGTTGAAGCATTAAACAGGTAAGGCCATCCCATCAGTATTGATTGTTCAGCTATTCTCCATCCTCGAATCGATTCAAATCTAATATTTTATCGCCCTGGTGTCGTATCCTATCATCGTGTGAATTGGCAGAGTTCTAGAAAGGCAAGAAATCTCAACAAAAATCCCGTTAGTGCGTTCGTTCGTTGTTCGTTTTGTACTCGTATTGTTAAGTGCCTGATATTACGGATCACTGGATCTACAACAGATCTTTGATCGTTGGTTCATTTAAGCTGAGCCGAGCATGTTTTTGCGATTGCCACAGATTTACACAGTGCACGCTCGATAGAGTGAACTAAATGGAGACGTAAACTAAACGAGTTTCCTATTTATACCCGGTACTTAAAGTGTTATGTATGTATATGTCACAGCCGTCTTGAATAGCGCCTAGATCTCAGAGATTATAAGAAGTACTGCTCTACTTGGACAAAATATTTTTTTGTGCAGGCTCCTCCGATATTGCAAGTTTATTTTAAAATTTTGTACCCTACCGAAAATATGTTGTATGGAAAAATGTTTCAAATACTAGAAAACTGAAAACGCCAAATCGTAAAGAATTATCATATCTACCGAATATGCTTCGGTCAAAGTAAATTGTGTGCTTAGAATCTAAAGATTGTGGATTAGATTGAATCAATATTGTAGCCAGAATGAAGGAAACTATTCCCTGTGGCTAGCTACCCTGCATCGCTCTCTCTTTATCTTTCTCCCAATGGTAATTCGTTGGTTTAAATGAAAGAAGAAGAGAGGGATGCGGAATATGCGCTATGCAAATCGCTAGAATATTTGTCATTAGGTGGACAGAGGATAGAAGGATTTATATAGAGGATATATACTGAATGGAGTACCGGGTATTGTAGTGTCGCGGCACCTGTGTCTTTGCTTTCCCGAGTGTGCACCCAAAAGTACGAGTACTCCCACTCGTATACAAAATTGCATGAATTGTTCGCCCAAAAACACTTGCGTACGGCATTTGTATTGCTTTGCTTGCTTTTACGTAAGATTTATTGTAGAGGAATCCCCTTTCTAATGCCACACCTGATTCCTCCTTACAGACAAGCTGTGGAACTGACGGAACGCACTTCACCCGAGCAAGCGGCATCCATACGGGAGCCCCTGTCGGTGGTCAATCGTCGCTGGGAGGCTCTGCTGCGCGGCATGGTCGACAGACAGAAGCAACTGGAGCACGCCCTGCTCCACCTGGGTCAATTCCAGCACGCACTCAACGAGCTGCTGGTCTGGATCGACAGGACAGACAGCACTTTGGATCAGTTGAAGCCGGTAAGACTTGAGGCTCGAGTAATCCCAGCCAGAGGTGGATGTAACTTTTATCCTTGAATTATTTACAGATACCCGGGGACCCACAACTGCTCGAGGTTGAGCTGGCTAAGCTGAAGGTGCTGGCCAACGATATACAGGCGCACCAGAACTCAGTGGACACGCTGAACGATGCTGGACGGCAGCTGATCGAGACGGAGAAGGGTTCCGTGGAGGCGTCGACTACGCAGGAGAAGCTTCGCAAGCTGAACAACGAATGGAAGCAGTTGCTGCAGAAGGCCAGCGATCGCCAGCACGAGCTGGAGGAGGCACTGAGAGAAGCGCACGGCTATATATCCGAGGTCCAAGACATCTTGGGATGGCTGGGCGATGTGGATGCCGTGATTGGAGCTAGCAAGCCAGTGGGCGGCCTCCCAGAGACGGCCACCGAGCAGTTGGAGCGCTTCATGGAGGTGTACAACGAACTGGATGAGAACAGGCCCAAGGTGGAGACGATCCAGGCCCAGGGCCAGGAGTACATCAAGCGCCAGAACCAGATGAAGGTCTCCTCCAGCAATCTGCAGCACACGCTACGCACGCTGAAGCAGCGCTGGGATGCTGTCGTCTCGAGGGCATCCGACAAAAAGATCAAGCTGGAGATTGCCCTCAAGGAGGCCACAGAGTTCCACGACACCCTGCAGGCGTTCGTCGAGTGGCTGACGCAGGCCGAGAAGCAGCTATCGAATGCCGATGCTGTCTCTCGGGTTCTGGAAACGATCCAGACACAGATGGAGGAGCACAAGGTGCTGCAGAAGGACGTGAGCACACACCGTGAGGCGATGCTGCTGCTGGACAAGAAGGGCACACATCTCAAGTACTTCAGCCAGAAGCAGGACGTGATCCTCATCAAAAACCTGCTCGTCTCCGTCCAGCATCGCTGGGAGCGCGTTGTCAGCAAAGCGGCGGAGCGCACCAGGGCCCTGGATCATGGCTACAAGGAGGCGCGTGAGTTCAACGATGCCTGGAGCGGCATGATGCAGTATCTGCAGGAGACCGAGCAGGTCCTAGACCAGATCATTGAGGAGGCCACCGCCTCCAAGGAGCCGCAAAAGATCAAGAAGTACATTGCCAAGCTGAAGGAGACCCATCGCCAGCTGGCTGCCAAGCAGACGGTCTATGACGGCACCATGCGCACCGGCAAGAACCTCATGGAGCGGGCGCCCAAAGGCGACCGGCCCGTGCTGGACAAGATGCTGCTGGAGCTGAAGGAGCAGTGGACTCGCGTCTGGTCGAAGAGCATCGAACGCCAGCGCAAGCTGGAGGAGGCCCTGCTGCTGTCGGGCCAGTTCAGCGATGCTTTGGGCGAACTCTTCGAGTGGCTGAAGAAGGCCAAGAGTCGCCTCAACGAGAACGGACCCGTCCACGGCGACCTGGAGACGGTCCAGGGCCTGTGCGAGCACCACAAGCACATTGAGCAGGATCTGCAGAAGCGGGCCGCTCAGATGCAGGGCGTGCTGAAGACCGGACGCGACCTGGAGCGATCGGGCAACAATCCCGAGGTGGGACGACAGCTGGATGAGCTGCAGTCCATTTGGGAGGAGGTGAAGAGTGCCGTCGGTAAACGCGGCGAGCGCCTTCAAGTGGCCCTGGTCGATGCTGAGAAGCTGAATGCCCGTGTTCAGGCTCTGTTCGACTGGCTGGATCATGCCGAGCACAAGCTGCGGTACGCCAAAAACGCCCCAGACGATGAGAAGGTGTCGCGCGAGATGATGGACATCCACGTGGAGTTCATGAAGGATTTGCGCGTGCGCGAAACCGAGAAGACGGAGACGTTTGAGTATGCCGAGGACATCATTGGCAAGGCCTATCCGGACGCCATTCCCATCATCAAGAACTGGCTGTCGATCATTCAACAGCGCTGGGAGGAGGTCCGCCAGTGGGCCATCAACCGCGAGTCCAAGCTGGGGCTGCACTTGCAATCGCTCAAGGATCTGGACGATAACATTGAGGAGCTGCTGGCATGGCTAACAGGACTCGAGGGTACTCTGTTGAGTAAGTAACTCGCGATTGCACATACATACGAGTGTGTCTAGCAAATTCAAAATTGACTTTCCTTTACAGACCTGAAGCACGAACAGCTGCCGGACGAAATTCCGCCGGTCGAGAAGCTCATTGAGGACCATAAGGAGTTCATGGAGAACACGGCCCGCCGCCAGAATGAGGTAGACCGCGCCTGCAAGCCGCGCCAGCTGCCACCCGGTGCTCGGAAGCCATCCCGCAGCGGCAAGACGCCAGTGTGAGTAGCAAAAGATGTTGGCCAGTGGCTGCCACTGATCTGTAGTAACACTGCCGTAGCTGTATCTTTATCTCTATCTGTATATATGTATATCTGAACCTCGTATATTATTTATTATTATTTTGTATATGTATTTATTTTTGCCATTTCTTTTTATACTTTCTTTTGTATCCACTCCGCCACTTTATTGCTACAAATATTCAAAACTCCAACTCCAATATCAAAATCAAAACACTCCCCCCGCAACGTCTTGCACACTTTCTCTGCCTATCCAAAAAAAAAAAAAAACTACACCAACCAAAACCAATCACCGATCGATATACAGTCGTGGATCCAGTCACGATCTGCGTGAACAGTCGCCCGATGGCAACATGAGGCGTCAAAGGTTTGACCGCAACTTTATACTCTAATTTCCGCTACTCGTTACATCCTATACGCTTACCCGATCGACTTTGCTTACTCACACTAGTACACACTCCTCCCTGCTCCCTCCAAAAAAAACACTGAAAAACAGTTCTAGTAAATGCCTAACATCCGCCATGTCCCCCCCACCACACACTACATGACACTCTAAAGCAGCGGTGGGACTCGTCTTGAGATGTCCAAGCGAATGCCGAAAAAGAGAATGTACCGCTGCCTTAAATATCTCCCGAATGTAGCGCTAAAACCCCGTAGAACCTAATGTACTACCGCACCTCATACCAATCCTGCACACGCCACAACCTGCTTAATCACTGCTGACAAAACTGTTGCTTTTTCACATTGCCCTCAAACTGTGATCTAATCCAAGTACCTGCCTCTCTCTCTCTCTCTCTCATTCCTACAGCTTCAAGGGCTCTCGCGACCAGGGACTCAATGCCCGCAAGGGAAGGTGAGTTATCAATGGACATTGAACCTTCCATCGTATACCGTATCTAAGAATAGATAGATTCCGCATGTATTACAAAATTCTCAAATCGAAAACTCTTTCAACTTTCAATATTTTGGAAATGCTGCGTCTACAACTATTCGAACTTTACTATAAATATTTATGTATATTTATAACTATTTTTAATTTGATGTATCTATGTATCTGTGCATTGCGTATTTTGTTCGTTACTTTACCATATTTTGTTTTGTTTTGTCTCTTTTTGAATCTACTTTCATCTACGCCTACGTATACGTTGCCTCATACCGCTCGAATATCAAAAACAAATCAATCAAAAACTATGCATCTTGCCGCTTTATTTGCCCAAAATCAATGTACAAACCAAATATTTGTGTGCAGTCGTGTCACGCCCACACGTGACACGCCCGACAGAGATCGCCTGCCGCACTACGGCCCCAGATTCTCGCCAAGGTAAGTGCCTTCCCCCAAAAAATCACACACGCCACACAACATTATCATCATCCAGTGCGCCTTGCACAAGCTGTGCATGTCTAGTGCTCGTGTTTTTTATGTAGTTTCGGTTTGGATCATCTGTTTGGACCATCATTGGCTAATATATTCTGCACTCTCTCTCCTCCTTTTGTAACTAGCTCCACTGGACCCGAACTTGAATTCCGCTCGCCACGCGCCAAGCTTCTGTGGACCAAGTGGCGCGATGTCTGGATGCACTCATGGGAGCGCCAGCGTCTGCTCAATGATCATCTGCTGTATCTGAAGGATGTGGAGCGTGCCCGCAACTTTAGCTGGGACGATTGGCGCAAGCGCGTAAGTATCCAAAAGGCTTCAAAAGTACAATCGAAAAATTATTATTTATGTTACTTTCCGTTCCTGTTTCTCAGTTCCTCAAGTACATGAATCACAAGAAGTCGCGCTTGACGGATCTGTTCCGCAAAATGGACAAGGACAACAATGGCATGATACCACGCGATGTCTTCATCGACGGAATACTCAACACGAGTAAGTTGCAACCAATCAATTGTGGGAATTTCATTGCTGATGCCTTCAATTTATGGTAGAATTCGACACATCTGGTTTGGAAATGAAGGCCGTGGCCGATCTCTTCGATCGCAATGGCGAGGGCCTCATTGACTGGCAAGAGTTCATTGCCGCCCTGAGGCCCGACTGGCAAGAGCGCAAGCCTGCCAACGACTCGGACAAGATACACGATGAAGTCAAGCGCCTGGTCATGCTCTGCACGTGCCGACAAAAGTTCCGTGTGTTCCAAGTGGGCGAGGGCAAGTACAGAGTAAGTTAACCCAACTACACAGTTCAACCAGCAGAGTCTTATGCAGTCCTTTGATTTCATCATTTTCAGTTTGGAGATTCACAGAAATTGCGCCTGGTTCGCATCCTGCGCAGCACTGTTATGGTGCGCGTGGGTGGCGGCTGGGTGGCCCTGGATGAATTCCTGACGAAGAACGATCCTTGTCGCGGTAAGTTGCGAACGAACCGGTTCGGTTGATCTTTCTAGCTATCCAAAAACACCATACTATGTAGTTGTGTTGCGTACACACACACACATTTTCGAAATTTGTTGAACTTCAACCATTCCATGAAGCATCCATCCATCATCAGTATTTCAGTACCAGTCCCAATCGCATACATCCATCCAACCATCCATATCTACAATAATATTCTAGTGTAATCTTGTAGTCCACATCTTAAACATGCCACCCTGCATTCCACATGCATTTTGTCCATCCAGATCCAGATCCTGATGTGCCATGCATCACCTTGGTCATCCATCTCATATAAACCATATACAAATCATATGCATATCACATCTAGGTACAGTTGTGCTTAACAACTAATTATTAATAAATATTAATAATACCAAACGGATATGGTCATTTAACCACAACCAACAACCAAACCAACCAGCTATAAAAATATTGTGCCTAAAACAAAAAAAAACAAAAAACAAAACAATACCCCTTGGAACAATTAAAACAAGAAACCTTTAAACAGTTCTGACCATCGATTAAACCTCATTCTACTCGTACTCTACTACATATATAATTTTGGTCAAAAAGTTGCCTAAATAAAGCTACAAATTAACAGTCGCGCGCCTTTTGATAATCAGATTGTTTTTATTGCCATTAAGCCAGCGCCAATGCCGCCTCATACACAATAACCAAAACGAAATCAACAACCAAAAACCCTATGAAATCCAAAGCCCAGCCTAGCGTAGGGTTTCGCCATTTTGCTGTACTCATGCTCATTTATGTCGCTTCGATTCTTAACTGCGTAACAATTGATATATGTACTATGCCCATAAAACTCACCCACAGCCCTAACTATAACCAGCCTACCCTCCTACTGTATCTAGTATTAGATAGTGCTATTAACTGGGTAACATCTCCAGCAACGCAACGCCTAGTGGTAGCCAAAAATAACTATTATACATATGTACTACAATTCGTAAAACTATTTTAATGCATGCTTTCTATTTTGCTAACCTACTCGCTCTGTCGCTTTCCAACTAACATTCTGCTTAACGACTACAGTCGCGCCTGCTGTTAACTAACAGCAATGGTGTACCGTTCATGTCACGCATTTTATGTTTGAAGCCATTCACCAGATTTCGTTGTGCGTCTCGTATCGTATCCTACTTCTACTTAAATGTTGCCAAATTAGATAACAATTGAATTTTAGTGTATTTGTGTTTTTTGTTTCGTTTTTTACTAATCAAATTTTATGTTTCCCCCTTTTTCTTTTTTTCCAAATGGTTATTTTCCGTTATTTATTTAATCGAAATACCGAAAAATGATTGAATATTGAATAAATGATCCCGATAAATATGTATACTCTTCGCTTGCGCCGCCCACGCCCACGTCCACGCCCACGCCCGATATGCACCCCGCCTGTGCCCACAAAATACCAAACAAAAAACACTGAAAATACTGTGACAAATTGTACATTACGGTAACGATATTTCGTTGTTATTGTTGTTGTTTGTTTATATGTTCGCCCTACAACAAACATTGACCGAATACATACACTCGTGCGCGCCTGTATCGTGTATGTGTTGTGTGTGTGTGTGTGGTGTCTATATATGTGTGTGTATCATACCTGCATATATATATACATATATATATATATATAATACCGCCATATCAACCACAACCATCGCTACCGCCTACCTAACGCCACACTGTTACCGCCTGGGAGCAGCCAAGGGACGCACTAACATTGAGCTGCGCGAACAATTCATATTGGCCGATGGCGTCTCGCAGAGCATGGCCGCATTCACGCCAAGACGTTCCACGCCCAATGCAGCCGCCACTGCCACATCCTCACCCAATGCCCAAAATGGCGGCAGCTCCAACTTGCCTCCATATATGAGTGGACAGGGTCCCATCATTAAGGTAAATCAAAAAACACTGAAAAAGAAACCGAAACCAATCTCGTTAAACGGGTAACGAGTAACGAATAGCGAGTAACGAGTATCCAGAAGAGTGAAACCGATATTCAAATCCTGACCCGCCACCCACCAACCTTCTCTATCCATCCATCCGTATATCCTTTGAGGGCACGAGGTAAGTGCGCCTTTCGTTTTGGGTTCGTTCGTTGTGTGTGTTGTTGACAAAGCAAAAAGCTCTCGCCAAAGCTGCTGCGCCGCCGACTCTTGATTTGTTGTACTATATCTGCATGAGAACATACTCGTTCATTTCGATCTGTATAATTTTACTTGTACGTACGTATATATTGTTGTTGCCTCTCTTTTCGTTTTTGCGGCCTTTTTGAGTTCATGCTAGAATACAGTACAGTACCCCGTCTACGCACTTGAGGCCATGTGGCCCATTGAGGTTGTTAGGCGCTAGGTTGTTAGGTTGTTGCCCATGGCTTAAATGATCATATACCGTTTGCCAGCTGCTATTTGCTGTCCAATGTTGGCTAAACGTATCCAAAATTGATTTCTATACATGTAGCTGATGAGCACTTGGCCGAATTAATGCCAATCTTTGAGAAAATCCGTGCACAAGACCAAGTACCATGCGCCTTTCCCATACACATGGGTGCCGGCGGCACGGTATTCGTCCGATGTAATACCAGCCGTTCGGTCCCGCTGAGTCCACATGTGCTGCATTGTCATCCAACAACACACTGGGTAAGTCCATTCTCCATTGATTGGCGGCGGAGTGAGAGAAGGATGAGCCGGAGAAGCCACAGAGGAGGAGGAGAATCTGAATCAAATCGGTTGATTCCATTTTCAACGGGTCTAGTGGGGGGATCGTCCAAAAGATCGCAACTAATCGTTAGCTCTCTTACACACAGGTTCGCGAGCGATCCGTTCGCTCCATTCCCATGTCGCGGCCATCGCGCTCGTCCCTCTCGGCCAGCACTCCCGACTCTCTGAGCGACAACGAGGGCAGCCACGGCGGACCCTCGGGACGGTACACACCGCGCAAGGTCACCTACACGAGCACACGCACAGGCCTCACGCCAGGAGGCTCTCGTGCCGGCTCCAAGCCCAACTCACGCCCGCTCAGCAGACAAGGATCGAAGCCACCATCGCGACATGGCTCCACGCTGTCGCTGGATAGCACGGGTAAGCTACAGCTGCGAATTTGGATCTTGAAACGAATACAAATTCTAAATTATTTATACTCTCGTAGACGATCACACGCCCTCACGCATTCCGCAACGTAAACCGTCAACGGCAAGTACCGCCAGCGGCACCACGCCACGCCCAGCGCGACTCTCGGTGACGACCACCACGCCAGGCAGTCGCCTGAACGGCTCCAGCACCATCACCCGCAAAACCGCCTCCGGCTCGGCCAGTCCAGCACCCACAAGGTAGGATTTTGGTGACAGTTACTCGGTTGCATTGCCATTTTTTAGAGTGGGGAACAATGGGGAAAGTGGGACACAAAATCAATCAACAATCAATTAATTTATGACTTTTATTTTCCACATTATTTTCGGTTTACCGCATTAACTTTTGAACAACACAAAACTCACACAAACAAACAAACAACCAACCATCATGAAACGCTAACAAACAACTACAATTGGCATTTGAAACATTTGAAATTTGCTTGAACGCAACTAAAACAAACAATAAAAAAAATACCCAAATATGCCTGCAAACACTATCCAAAAACAAAATACTCAAACAGCAACGGAGGCATGAGTAGATCATCCAGTATACCAGCACTAACAGGCTTCGGCTTCAAACCAATTAGGTAATAACGCTCTCAAGGCTCTCCAACTGAACACTAAACATAATTACAAATTGATAAGCTTAGGCTAGGCATAAGACATACTTAACATTATATAGCGCAGGATGATCGAGATCGATCAGTGGTTATGGTTTATAATATATATGCTAACTACTCCGTATTGTTGTACTTACCATTCCCACACCTAAAGCCGCCCATCACGGATACCGATTAAGATACCCTCATTCGATTCCAAGTCAACATCGCCCACCAACTCGACTACGAATCCAACCAGCTTGGGGTAAAGTTGATAAGCACTCAAGAAAGACATTTACTAGCCAATTTCCAACTCTATCTATAGCAAGTAATTATTATCTAAATAATGTTGTTTTTAAGTTACTTTCGTACCTTGATTGTTGGACCATTTCCGAGCATGTCAATATGCATGTCAATGCCATGCAAAAACAACCAGCAACAAATGCTTTCAACTAATGCCTAAGATTTATTTCTAGACTAGTATTATGTATATTTTTCTTTTGTTACTGTTATTGTTATATGCTTTGACCATCATTTGAGAACAGTGGACTAACCGATTTGTTTTTACCATCCCCTGCCCTATAGGCGGAACATCAGCGGAAGCTCGACACCGTCGGGTATGCAGACACCGCGCAAGAGTTCGGCGGAGCCGACATTCAGCTCGACCATGCATCGCACAGCGCGCGGTACCACACCGACGGAGAAGCGCGAACCGTTCCGGCTCTAGAATGGAGAAATGAGGATAAATATGGAGACGAAGAATGCCAATATTTAAACCATACACACAACAAACAAACTTATGTACTAACTACGCACTGATGATGTTCTAAACTGAAAATCCCCTCCCCAATAATCGTGAGATAGACTACATTAGCAATGAATGTAGCACGGAACACACACACACAGCACAGAGTTCTGTAGAGACTAACATTTAAGTGCCCCCCGAAAGGAGTTGATGAGCGAGACAATTTATAGACGGTTATACCACTTACGAGTATAATATATATTTTGTAAAAGACACATAATATGTATGTATGTATGTAGAGGAGATGTGTAAAACGCAGACATACATATAGCTAGCACACAAAGTTGATCAGAGAAGCAACCAACCTACTTACGAGTACTACTAATACAAATACTACACTACCTTTTGCTACTACTAATTTGTAATGTCCACTAGCCCCCTCCCTATTCACTAGTTATACATGTTTCCAAAATTATAATTTGTATATACTTATAAACGAAACGACGAGAAAACAAGCGTAAATTAATAAAAAATACACTCCAAGTGCTCCAAGGCAAGTAAAAGAATTACAAAAATTAAATCTAAAATATTAAAAAAAAAAAAACAAAAAATGAATCGAAAAATATTTAGAAAAAAATAAAAAATATTCGAATGAAATGTCGGAACCTCTGTGGCAAACCTTTCTGTGTCTATGTGTCACCATCGAAATCGCCAGTTTGATGGTCCACTAGCCAGCTATAGGGGCGTGGCAGAGGTGGTACGGCCAAAAAAATAACTAAAACGCATTAAAGAGAAAAAATTTGATTTTGTTCTGTTATTAAACTAATAGGATTGTGAAAAATGTAAGCCGCATAAAGAAAATATTTAATTATATACTAAAAGTCATTACTATAAGTTTAATTAATATTTAACTGTTAAGTGAGATACACACACAGATTTTGTATTGCATAATTATTTTGTTTTTGATATATGCAATTGCAACGCAACGAAAGAATTACGATGCAAGTGGGAGAAATTAAAGAGAAATCCCTTTATATAAATATTGTAAAATACTAATACTAAATTATTTTGTTGTACGAATCGAAAGAAAATGCATTAAACACGTTTTTTGTAATTCTATTAAATTAAAACAATTTAAATGAGAAATAAAATTTACAAAAAATTATAACATAAAACTATGATGTTTTTCTATTCCCGCATCCCCCCACAGTAAAACTTGGCTGATTATTCCATGATTTTGGTAGTTGATTTTATTCGTTATGCTTCCCAATCGTAGTATTTATTTGACACATTGAAATTTAATTTTCGATACACGAGTATGAATGTACAACCTTCGCCGATCCATATGGATGCCGGTACAGGTCTTTCTTTTTACACAAACACTCAATTAATTACAACATTTAATGTGTGCTTTGCATGCTACTGCTAATGCTAATGCCCTGTCTCTGTCTCGGGCCTCATCTGACATCTGTCTTCCCTTCCTTTTGCTGGCTGACTAGATGGGGGATTGTGGGTGGTTCCAACTTCAAGTATTCGTTAGTTTTCCTTTTTAATTATGGTGCTAGCGGCTGCTAGATATGGGAGGGTGGGGGAAGTGTATAAATATTTATGCTAAACATTGAGAGCAAGTGCAGATTATGCATTGCGTATGGGAATATCAATATCATTCAGTGTCTTCTTGGCCATCTTCTCTGTCGTGTGCATCGTATGGTATGGAGTGGTTTCGTCAACGCCAGCGCTGCCAGTTGGTGCTGCTAAATACATGCTTGCTTTACTCTCTAGCTATCAAAACCTAGTCATCCTCATAATCGTAATCGTAATATCGTCTCGGCATGGTGCCGCAAGTCTTTTGCAAACCATTACAAATATCATTATAGTTAATATACAACTAAATATCATTGTTAATAGAAAATTAGCTAACCCGGTTCGCTAAAGCTAACTAAACATAAATACAAACGCAAAATTCACAGAAACGAGTGCGCCTCAGAAAACTATAAAAAAAAAACTCTGTTCTGTCTGGGATGGTGCTGGATTGTGTATTAGCAGCATGGCAACGCAATGGGTATCCGGAGCCGCATCTGTCCTGGAAGCCATTGTCACCTGGTAGGCCCCGAACAGGCAGACTGAGACTTCGTCTGCTTTCCTGTCCCTGTAGTTGCTGCACTGCTTCCGCCTGAGGTGCCTCCAGCTGTGCCAGGGTTTGGCTCGCGATCGCGGTCGGCCCGATGGTGGTGCCCATGCTGATGGCGCCTATTGCCACGATAATGCCGACGATTGTGATGATAGTTGTTGTTTGTTGGCTCTGACACACGATGTGTTTCCTGCACTACGGGTGCAAAGGTAGAGCTGCTTGTGGGTTTTGGTGCTTCGTCCTTGGCTGGTCCCTCCAACTTTCTAGCGGCCTCCGCTTCTTCACGACGCCTACGTCGTCGTACATCCTCCTCGGTCTCAATAGAAATGACAGCAGCACTATCGGCCTTTACATCAATGATGGCCCCGCGACTCTTTTGCTGCAGATACAGCTGTGACATGCGCTGCTGCATCTCTCTAAGCTCCTGGGTCACTTTGAAGTCGGGCGCGTTGATAAGCTCCGAGGGCGGCATGGCGCACTTCAGGCTGTCCGACTCATCACTTATGTGTTCCCGACAAACGGGACACAACGCCTGGAAGGGATCAGCCGTCTTCTGCAGCCAGGCGGGCAGCTTGTCAAACTCCTCCTGATAGTTGCGACGTAGTGCATTCAAGTGCCTAGCTAGGCAGTAGCTGTGCAGGTAATGGAAACACTCGGTTCGAGTAAACTCGTCGCCCTCGGCGAATCCGTACAGACAGACCACGCACTGTCCGCTTGGCAAGTTGCTGCCAGTCAGATGCTCCCTCACAACCTCAATCAGGTCGAAGACGACGGGAAAGCCCAGCGATTCCTTAATCTTGACATTACAGGCGGTGCGTATGGCCTCCAAGCGAGCGTCGTCTAGTCCCCGCGGTCGAAGCAATTTGAATGTGGGACTGGCGTCTGGATAGCCCGGCGTCGGCTGGACCTGCAGCGTCACACAGATGTACTGCTGCTCGTCCTCCTCCCCAGTCAACGGGAGAACTGTTGTCTCGATTACGTCCACGTCGCCGCTTTTGTTGGCAAGTAATTTTCGTGTTTAGTAGCATAAAGATTTGTTTTTCAGATTACCTACCTGGCAGTGCGCTTGATGCAAACATCGTCCATTAGAATTGCCTCCAGCGATTCCACCTCGTCTTGTAATCTGTGGGAAAACATTTTCTGTTAAAGGAAAGTCGCTGTGCAAGCATTTTTCATTCACTTACGCGTCCATTTATTCGGTTTTTTGCGCTGTATTCGAGTATTTTTGAGTTTTAAAAAATCGATTTGAGACACCTGAATATTGTTAAGGGGCACAGTGTGACCGTCTGAACATGTGCTGGGAAATATCAAAAAGGCGTACAAAAATACCAACAATACCTAAAAATACAACAGGAAGCGCCTGGCGCCGAAAAAGATGCAATGGAAAATAAATTATGCTTGGCGGCATTTTGAAAATTCCTTAATAATACTTTTAGAGTAGATAATTCAATTGGATTTTTTTACAACTAGAGAGTTAGAGTGCTCTTCTCTCTTTCATTCTTTCTCGCTCTCTTGCTTCCTCGAACTACCACCAAAACCGAGCAGCAGCGGCATTTTGGCAGCTTTCAACCCCTTGATGCCACGTGCTTCCCATAGCTTTTGGCCTCCTTTCACACACACAAACACACACTGACAGCAATCAATGAAAGTGAAGCTTTGCCCAAATTAAACAGAGGTACTCCCCATTCGCATGTGAAAAATTTCCATGCACCCGTAGGTTTATCCTGTGGCCTGTCGTCCTGCGCCAGCGCTCGTGCCCGCCTCTCGATTGTGGTGGTGGATTCTCGCTCGGCTTTTCACCACGGCAATGAACGTCGCTCGAGAGCTTCTGGCTGGCAGTGCTAACACGCGCCAAGCGTTTCGCGTTTCACTTTGTAACGGAAAGCTCAAATCAACGGTCGTGTCGTGAAAATTGGGCAAAGCTCCGTGTGAAAACGCTGAAATTCCTCGAACGAAATTGATTTGTGCGTGTGTGTGTGTGTCTGTGCATTTGATCTAAAGCAAAGTATTAGAAAATTGCAAACGTGCATTTTGGAATTCACGGCCGCCACCAAAAAGTTGTCCAAATTGCCAAAAAAAAAAAAAAAACATTGTCTGGAAGGGAGCGACCGCGTGTGTCTTTGTGCCATTGTGTTTGTGTCTGTGAAAAATCCGCCCTTAACAGCAGCCAGAGCGCCAGCAAGGATCCCGAAGCTAAGCCAAGTTAAACTTTGGTACGTTGGTACGCTAGCTGGCACCTTGGACAGGCACATTCTGCCCGTCCTGACGTGTCCTGCGCACTCACACACACACACACACACACACAACGTAAACTTGTTTCCTCTCTCTCTGTCTCCCTCTCTCCCAATCCCAGTCCCATTCTCCTTCCGTACATAATAGGCGACGCTCGTATTTGTGAGGCACGTGGAATTTCCAGTGACAACAGTTTATGCAAATTGCTTTCAGCTACGAATTCAATTGTTTCGTGCCCTTCGCGTAAACGAAAATCTGCATTTCTGTGCATTCGCATTCGTGTTCGCATTCCAATAAAACCAAGCAAATGCGAAAATTCATCAAAGCCAATGCGATTGTAACAAAATATAAATGTACGACTTTGCACGTTGGTTTGTAACGAGCAGGAAAAAGCGTTCAGAGCACTTACAATCCATGTATCAGGTAGATCTAAATGTTGGCAAGATTTCAGGCATCAGATGATTAATCATGGCGTGGGGCGAGGCGAGTCATCGAACGCAAGCACAAATTTGAAATTGATTCTTTATGAGATATGAGCATCAATTTATAAATGTATAAACCAATTTCCGTACAACATACCGCAAGGCATCCATCCTTCTCTCTCTCTCTCGCACCCGCTCCACCTTCTGGCTACCTCTTGCTCCATGTGGCAAAGTGAAATTGCATTGAGGCTGGCAATGGCATTGGCTGAGGGGGTTGTTTTAGCCAAAAAGCTCAGACCTCCCCTACCCTCCTGCTTATTTATTTACCTCTCTCATCCTCAACAGGCCATCAGTTGATGCTGTGCCAAAAAGGCATTCCCCTTTCGCCCCCATGCGAGCTAGAGTGAGAGCGAAAGTTGCATATGTAGTACACTATATACATAGGTCGAAGTATATAAGGCACTGGTATAGAAGGTATTTTGTATGCAGACAAGTGCATTTGTCCGCTTGCTGCATGGATAATCCTGAAATATTAATCTTTTCGCTTTGTTGTGGTTATTTATTTATTGATTGCTCTCTTTGTGGAAAAAGGTACTCGTGATTTCGATTTTGATCAAGAGATTTCGAATTATGACTAGGAAGAGCTATGCTATGCTATGCGGTTATTTATCTCTCTTATACAGATTTAAATTAAACAACAATCAAGCACACGATTCAACGACAGAGTTACTTGAGGACTTTTAGTTGCCTTTCTAATATTTCATACGCGCTCTGATATCTAATTTAATAAATGCTTACTGTTCATATTTCAAGAACACATTGGACGATTCATAAGAGCTCAAAAAACTTTCCACTGTCCGCGCGTCAGACATCAGCTGCGTTTATTTACATAATAACATCATTGTAAAAACAAAGCAGGCAACCACCTCCTTCCTTCTTCTAATGAAAGCGGCCCAAGGCTAAGAAACAACGCGTAAACAATCCGAATCGGTGCGCTGGAACGCAATCTTAAGCGGTGTCCGATTTCAAAGGGAATGGCGGGAGGATTTGTCTCAAGCAGTCTCAAGCAGTTTCAAGCAGTTAAATGCAGATCCAGAGTTCCAGACCTGCCGCTCCGCAGTCTGGCGCTGATTTCCAGGAAATCCGAACGGCTACCCTCCCACGCAATTGCAACAAAAGCCCACTTCAAGGTCAATTTTTTATTTCCTTTCTGTGTGTGTGTCGTTCCTGGGGTTGGTTCCATGATTTTTGGGCCACTGCTCGCCTTGCCGCCAAACGAATTGCTAAAAACAATTACTATGCATTCTCGAAGGGAGGAGGGAGGAGATGGAGAGTATCAGGGGGCGAGAGCAAAGGGCGCAAATTGCATATTGGCAGCCGAACAACTTGCGCAATCTTCTCCCCACTCTCCGCTCAGCACGCCCCTCCCCACTCGCTGCACTTTGAGCAGTTCCGAAAATAGCCGCAAATATGGTATTATTAGTTTTGGCATTTTCAAATGCCTCTCCTCATGCACAAATTTCTGTGCGGATTTGTTAATGTGTACGGCTACGGGGTACGTGTATTTCGTGTAATGAACAAAAGCCAATAAAATGTGCAGAATCGATTGCATAAACAAAACAAAAACAAATATTTCATTGGCAATCAAATTGCATGATTTATGCAGAATAGAAAAACACAGCTGGTCGTCCACATCAGAGCACCCCCCCAATTGCAGTACGGCCAGGCTATTTTTTTCTTATCGATTTGGCCTGGAACACGCCATGTCATCAGATTCGTGTTCCTTAATCCGCTCTCTCTCTCCCGTCCCGTCCGCCTTCCCACTATCTGGCTCTGCTTTAGCTATTTCGGTGGCACTTTAACTGGCGAATAAGCTTTAAAGCCATCCCCCTGCACAGCTGCTGCTGCTGCTCCTACCTACCCCCAACACCAGGTCGGGTCGGAAAGGGGATGAACTTGTTTTTTTGGTTTGAATATCACTTTTGGGAACGACGCAATTCCGTTTGTCCTTTTTGGCGGTGCTTTGTTCAGGAGCGTAGGCTTTTATACCTGTTTACGTATGTATGTACATTCACTCCTAAGTGAGTGGTGTGTGTGTGTGTGTGTCTGTTTTTATGTATGTCGATTGTGTAGCTCGGTAAATTTCCATTCATATAAATTTTCGCTTGGCATTGTTCGCTGTCTTTGAATTAGACTCAGAGACTCAGAGCCGGAATGAATCAGTTGTTTCGCTGTGGGCAGTGGAGTTATATAAGTGCAAATGCAAGTGTAAGCAGTGCAACTTCACTATGAACACAATTACATCCTGTCAAATTCAATCAAACTGATTCTGATTGCGCTTTCATTAATCTTGGGCCCCCAGTGCGCAAAGCCCCTCATTGAGCAATTTCCCTTGGTAAATGATTTAAGCATTGTGTTTCAGTTCGCTTTATTGTGGGCTAAACCGTTCCAATGACAGGGCCAGGGTCGTTTCGCTCTGTCCCTGTGTCCGTGTCCGTGTCCATGTACGGGGTCCTGCTTGAGCTTTATATTTAGAAACGCCGGTGGCGTGGGCGTGTGGGGGTGTGGTGTGGTGTGGATGTGGATGTGGCTGTGGATGCGGATGTGGGTAGGTTTGTGGGCCAGGGTGGCTGTGGGAATATTGCGACGCAAAAAGCAACAGCAATCACAGGACCTTAATATTTCCACACACAGGTTTACGTAACACCAATTGGATTGTGTAATCAGCAGACGGGACGACGGACAGCGTAAAGGAAGCAAAAAGCCGCACCGCACCGCACGCAAGCAAAGAAAAATGTTGCAGTGGCAGTGGCACTTGATGCCTGGTGCTGGCAGCCTGTGACATTGAACGCATTGCACGCTCCATGTCCTTTTATTATCCGTTCCCTCTGTGGAGGCATCGTGTGGCCATCTAAGCAGAATTAACGAGCTGGTGGTGTAATTTTTGGTATACATTCAATGTGTTGTTTGCCTGCCACTGTTGCAGTAATGGAATAAATATTTACAGGGCGATAGGAATATGGAGAGGGGGTGGAGGGAGGTGCGTGGCATGGGTGGCCACTGGCCCGTCATGGGGCCTGTTCGACTGCCACAAACGGAATTGTGGAATAAGTCAGCCATCAAAAGACGTCATAGCGCATTACGTATACGCAAGATAATGAAGAATAGCAAAAGGAATATATGTACATATGGACATGCATGTATCAGTGTATCAATGTGTGCATATGTACGTACATATGTATGCATGCGTATATACAGTGCTATCAATGAAGCGGCAGGACGCCAAAAGCTTACCAGAGCTTTCCTCTCTCTCTCTCTCTCTTTTCTCTTTGCACTGTAGCTATGGTGGGATTCGATTCTGCCTCTGCTTCTTGCCACACAGCTGCTGCTCCAACAATTTACCCACCCAGAGAGAGCGAGAGAGAGAATTGGGGCTCTTCCTCTCAAGTTTTGCTGCGTCCTCTGGCTTTACTACGTCAGCACCCGCAGCAGCAGCAGCAGGGCAGAGACGAGCCTCCAAGTAAATAAGCTAGCATATATGTATGTACATAAACGAGCACATGGTGTACATGGGGATGGGGCTGCCCTTCCTCTGCCCACCCTACACCCTTAATGTACTCGCGAGTATGTAAGCGTGTTCTAGTCTCGTGTGCTCTTGCTTTTCTCATTGCTCTTTCCATTTGCAACGACCTTCCGTGGGAGTCAACAAAATTTGGCCCCACGACACTGAGCAACAAGGTTCAGGAAGTCACGATTGCTGGGCGATTAAGTCGTAAGTGGGATGAGGTGGAGTAGGTGGTTCATCCATCCGTCTGGCTCTATGTGGGATGTGCAAAAAGACACTCGTTGTTCTCATTAACGTGCAGCAGTACATGCACAATAAGTTCTATATTAAGTGGGAGCGAGAGAGAGAGATTAGCTAGCAGGGCAATATGAAAAACTTTATGAACTATGCAGAAATGCCAAACTTTGCAACTAAATTTACATGGCAATTTAATTATAATAGGAAGGGGAGGGGCAATGGCAAGGGAGGAAGAATTCGAAGTACCATCGAAGAGTTTTCCGTTAACCAGAGGAAAAAAACCGCCGCCTTAATGGCAAGCAATTAGGAAACAAATTGAGTTAGCTGCCTGCCACTAGAAGAGGTCTCAAGGACGCCCCACCAACACCGCAGAAATGAGCAAAATACCACCACACACACACAGACACACGTACACTGTACATATATATACATATATTCTGATACTGGCACCCTCGAGGAATATTGATCAAACAGAGTGGAATACTTACATACATAGACCCTGCCAGAGAATCATACATACATATATGCCCATGGTCTCAGCGGTTTTCTAATCGGCTGCTTCATTTTTCAGAAACCACGGCGCGACTTGAACCACCACCCGAGCGTTGATGGCAGCCACCAAAATCATCGATGCACCGCGCAACGGCCACGAGATGGCCCCACTGAACACACGGGCACGGGGCGATGGTACCCACGGGGTGACCATCGTCCTGACCGCCCCGCAGCGCAACTCGGTGCAGTCGGTGGACATTCCGGGCGGAGAGCCGGAGCGTGCAGCCTGGAGCGGCAAGATGCAATTCTTTCTCAGCATCATCGGCTACTCGGTGGGCCTCGGCAACATCTGGCGCTTTCCCTACCTGTGCCAACAGAACGGCGGCGGTGAGTAAACGTAAATGGAATGTCAGCTAGCTCACATGTCCGGATAACCCGAACTGTCAGCAACTGTCAGAAGTGCAGCGTTCGCTGCAGTTATTTCCAATCAATGTCTGCACTGCACTCTCCACTCCACACTCCACACTCCACACCCAATTCGTTGCTGGCGTCACCTGTGTGTGTGTGTGTGTGAGTGTGTGTGTGCGATAGCGCTAATTACAGACAGAGTGCAGGTGGTACTGCCCCCTCGCCCTGCCCTCTCTGCAGCCACTCTATGTGTCGTATCCAATATCATGTGGCCAACGAACTGCATGCTCGTACAGCTAATAAAGTGCACAGCTTTGACAATAGCATTATGGGATTTAATGTGCACTAATTGCATAGCTTTATCATCGCGACGAAAGGTCGGGACGGACTGTCCGGAAGACCCAATTGTGGTTGCCTTTGCATCGGCACCAGCCCACTTCATACGCCCCGTGTGCCGAGCACGCACAACCACCGACCCGGTTTTAATTCAATTACAAATTAGAGAGAATGAGCAGCGGGCACCCACTAACCAGGAGAACCACCAAATGTCATTAAAAATTACCAACAGATTAATATCTAATAAATATAGGCATGGAAACAATGCGAGAAACCCTTGCAGTGGGATATGGGCCTTCTTGCCGCATGATAATAAATTCCTTCTGACCCGAATCAGTTCAGTTTCGAGCACACACACACACATACACACACAAAAGACACCTTTGGGGAACCACGAGACAGAAATGCAATGCAAATGCAAATTGATTTCGTGTCACGTCACTCAATTGGACTTAGACCTAATCACACATTCAACCCGCTCTTCCATGTGTGGTTTGCCCTTATGCAGGTGCATTCCTGATACCGTTCATGATTATGCTGATACTGGAGGGCATACCGCTGTTCCTCATCGAGCTGGGAATGGGACAACGCATGCGGCTGGGTGCGCTGGGGGTGTGGAACACCATCCATCCGTGGCTGGGCGGCATCGGCATCTCGTCGTGCATCGTGACGCTGTTCGTGGCCCTCTACTACAACGTCATCATCACGTGGGTCTTCTTCTACCTCTTCAACAGTTTTCGGGTAAGCACTCACAGCAGAGCTATAGATCCCTCTATAAGGTGTTTGGCCTTCTCCCTTAGTATCCACTGCCCTGGTCCAGCTGTCCGACCAACGGCACTGGATTTGCGGTTGAAGAGTGCGCCAAGTCATCGGAGACAACGTACTTCTGGTACCGCACCACCCTGGATGCGGCTCCGTCCATGGACGAGCCCGGCGGCCTCAAGTGGTGGATTGTGCTCTGCCTGATGCTCTCCTGGACCATTGTCTTCTTCATCGTGATGAAGGGCATCCAGAGCTCCGGCAAGGTGGTCTACTTCACCTCCCTCTTCCCCTACATCGTCCTCACCATATTCTTCATCCGCGGCATAACCTTGCGGGGCGCTGGCGCCGGTCTGATGCACATGTACACGCCGAAGGTGGAGAAGCTGCTGGAGCCGACGGTGTGGCTGGACGCGGCCACCCAGGTATTTTATTCATTCGGCCTGGCCTTCGGCTCGCTGATAGCCTTCGGCAGCTACAACACTCCGAAGAACAACTGCGTCCGCGACGTCCTGCTGGTGTCCGTGTGCAATGCAGTCACCGCCATCTACGCGAGTGTCGTCATCTTCGCCATTCTCGGCTTCAAGGCCACCATGAACGTGGATCGCTGTGTGGCAAGGTGAGTGCAACAGTACATCAGTACAGTACAGTGGGGGGTGTGTGGGGTCAGTCTGCACGCATCGGTGGACAGCACCTGGGATAGGTCATCATCATCACCATCACCATCCAATGTTGACCAGTTGTAACTGGCACGAGGCAGGCAACCACCCACCCCAGCAAACAAACAAACAATCACCCATTGAACCATTGAACCATTCAGGGCTTTGTCTTTGTATCTATTTGCGTATGGTATCAATGGATGGGATACGAGTATCTGTGTATTTGTGGGCTGTTCATTGATACTCGCATTCGAATCGATATATGCAGAATCGCGGTCGTGTCTGTCAATTTGTATCAATTAATGGTCCCACGCTGAGTTATTGACAATTGTACTTGAACTGTCCGTCCCATGTTCATGCCATGTCCGTCTCCCCGTGGGCTCTAACCGACTTAAACCGGTCTTCGTCTTGTGTTCCTCCCCACAGCAACACGGAAATCCTCGTGAAGCATTCGTTTCTGGAAAACAAGAACGCCACTACCCTGGAGTACGAGCATGCGATGGACAGGCTGAACGACACGGAGAAGACCCTGTTTCAGCTGAGCGAGTGCACCCTGTCCAAGGAGCTGGATAATGTGAGTACTGACCGCAACCTGCAGAGGAAGGGTTCATTATTCTACTCTCTCTCTCTCTCTCTCTCTCTCTCATTCTCTGTCTCTGTCTCTGTCTGTGTAGGCTGCCGAGGGTACGGGATTGGCCTTCATTGTGTTCACCCAGGCCATTGTGGAGCTGCCGGGTGCGCCCTTCTGGGCGGTGCTCTTCTTCACCATGCTGCTGTCGCTGGGACTGGGCTCGCAGATCGGCATCTTGGAGGGCATGCTGTGCACCCTCTTCGACATAGACATTATCAAGCGGGTTAAGAAACAGCATGTCACTGGCGTGGTGTGTCTATTCTGCTTTACTGTCGGTTTCATCTTCTGCACAGGTGCCGGGGAGTATTGGCTCAAGATGTTCGATTCTTTTGCCGGCACCATTGGCCTGGTGGTGGTGGCCCTAATGGAGATGATTGCCGTTATCTTTATCTACGGACACGAGCGGTGGGTATCCCTCCAGGTTGCCTTTAAGACTGGCCCTATAAGTCTGCTCATTTGCACCCACAGCTTCACTGAGGACATCTATCAGATGACTGGCTACAGACCCGGACTCTACTGGCAGCTAACATGGCGCTACATTGGGCCCGCCATCATGGTCTGCATTCTCGTCTCGTCCGTCGTCTTTATGGTCATCCGAAATCCCACATATGGAGCTTGGAACGCAGAATTGGTGGGTGTTTTCCATCAAGGATATAGCCATATCCCTTTCCTTACACTTTTCTGTTCATTCAGGGCGTGGTGGAGCAGAAGGAATATCCCAGGTGGGTGATGGGCATTGCCCTTTCGATGATCCTCGCCGGCGTCCTGCCCATGCCCATTGTGTTCCTCATGCGCAGCTTCCAGTGCCTGAAGGTGGATCTGGACATACACCAGGGATCGATTCGACGCAATGAGACGACCGCCTCAACCAAGGAGATGATTGACAATGACGACGATGTAAGTGCCCCCGCCCACCCCACCAATTTATTTGCAATTCAGCTTTCTTTATGCCATTCGGTGTGTTGTTTGAGCGTTCAAATTGAACCTTCATCTAGGCTAAGATAATGCCCAGCTCTCTCTCTCTCTCTATCTGGACAAATAAGTGTAACTAATTGTGTCTTTCTCTCACCTAAAAACAAAAACATTCCTCACTCTTGCGCTTGATATTCCTCTCTGAAAATGCTTCCAAACCAAAAACCAAATAACAAATATATGCAATCAAATCACGCTCATTGTCGTACAGAATATGAGTCCGGATATGCCACCGCAGAATTCATTAGCGGCGACACGCTTCACAATTGGAGACTTTGAAGTAAGTTGTGTCTTGTCCTGGTCCAACCATTCCCCCAACCCACCAAACCCACCAAACCCACCAACTCCCTCAACTACCCTCACTCCCGCCACATGCACCCATCTCTATAGACACTAACGCTAATCACACAATTCTCTGCTCTTCTTTCCCCCTCTGCTCCTGTGTCCACACTCATTGTTCAATGTTTAGAATTAGAATGAACCGAAATGAAATCCTGGAAACGTTTTAAAGTGCTGCGCCTCCAGAAATTACTTAGAAAACCAAAACAGAAAACATAAATTGAGAAACGAGAAACCAGAACCCAGTTAATCCCTAAGATAACACTTAAAGTAGTTTAATAAATGCTCATTGCAATTGCATGGCCCAACATCACCAAGACACCGATCATCGATCATCGATCACCGATCACTAAGGACAGTGCTAAATTCCACGCTCAGTGTGCCCGCCCAACTACGTAGTAGCCCAAAAACAAGAGAATGCTCATCATACCCCCTCAGATACCCTAAAAAAACTACTCAATCTCAATACCACTAAGAACTAAAATCAGCGCACAAAAATTTCTCGTAGATAGCAATCAAATCAACAAAAACGCAAAACGCTTTTTAAAACTGAAATAGAAATATACTATAAATTCAATATTAAGACAGCGAGAAGGGCCAGGGCTAGGACAGGACAGGACAGGACAATTATTTACAAATTTTATGTTTAGGGAAAAGACTAGCTAAATCGCTTGGGCAGGTCCTGAGATGGCTCAGCATATATAAGTAGGGCAATGAATGTATATAGCATAAATAGACAGACAGGCAGGCAGGCAGTCCACACTGAAGAGGCAGTACAGTACTTGAATTGGTTGGCGGTCCATCCAGCGAGGCAAAAATTGACAGGTAAAGTAAACAATCCACAAACGATGCGAAAACTGTCATAATTATCCATTTAGTTTGTTCGTTTGTTCATTGTTTCGATGTTTTTGTTATACCCGGGTACAGTAGTACCCACTTATGTACATTTTTTAGCCAGACAGTGGGTCTTCTCTTCTCTATATGGTTTTTATCTGTTTAAATGTACATAAATATGAATACATTATGTATTTTACATTCTACACACAAAGTGATGTAATGTACATTTTACTTGTTATGCTTTTAACGAACGCCATCTGTTGAATGTTTTGGGAACTTTTTGCTTGAGCTTTTTGTAGAATATCAAGTATGCGCCGCGTGGTGGTCGGTCTGTTGGCGCTCATATGATTTATGTATTTGTATAATTTGTACAATATTCTTGGTTTCATAGGGGACTTTTTGTTCCTTTTTATTGGTTTGCTCCATGTGTCCGTGCCAACTTCTAATCCGGTTTCCCCTCTATCCAATCAGGAGGACGATGAGAACGATTACAGCGGACCCGCCCTAGGTGGCCACGTCAAGACCCAAAGCGATGGCGACTTCTCCGACGACGACGAGGAGGACAAGCCCATGACCATGCGGATGATGATGATGCGTCCGACAACAACATCGAACGTGTTGAATGTGCCAACAAGCAGAAAGCAGAACTACAAAAAGGATGCGTACGATGTGTAGAGAGGTGTTCAGGTGTGCAGGAGCCAACACCAAATGAAATGAAGTGGAACCCCCCCGCGCAGAGACAGCCACAGAGACAGGAACAGAACGAACACAATGGCAAGTGAAATATTAATTAAACTGAGAGAACGGAGGAGGCAGAGCGAGCAGAAACAGTGCCGAGCTGAGCGCAAAAACATTTATAAATATTTACGCTAAGTATTTTAACATAATTTAAAGCTAAACTAAGAAACAGAAAGAATAAACTGAAGAGTTAATTGAATTCGAGTTCGAGTGCGTAACTCAAATTGTTAAAACGTATTTTAAACACAAACTGAACTAAAACTAAAACCAAAACCAAAAACTAAACCAAACAAACTAACTATTTACGAGTACAATTACGAGCTGCTGCAGGACAAAGTTAAAGGCAAAGGAAATGGAAATGGCGCAGGAGAAAGAAAGGAAAACGATTAACTAAAATGGGTTGCAAAAAGTTTCGATTTGATTATGTAGCATTTAGTTTGGAATGCTTAAAGCCTTACCATTAGACACTGAACACTCAGCACACAGCACACACAAACTGAAAGTATTTCTGGTTTGCCAGACTCCTACCCCAACACAACCCCATCCATAGCCCCCCTTCCCACTGCACAAACTCTTCAATACGAGTAGCAAACGCTTTGTAGTCGACTTAGGCCAGCGCATTTCCAAAGAGTTTAACTCAATATTTAGTTTACTTAGTAGAGATATGTATCGACCTACTGTTATTATTTGGACTTCCTAGTGAAGACCCAAACTATAAATAAATCTAATCTAGAAACGGAGTTACACAAAGTTAAATGTTAATTCAAACAAGTTACACCCTATAAACCTTTTCGAAGCTCGCTCCCACTGCGTTGAGCTGCGAGATACAAGTACATACATAGATACTTATTATTGAACACAAAGATACATGGAATGTGTGATATTCTAAATAATATCCTCGAACTTTAGTCTAAGCGAGAAACCTTATCGATTTCACTTAGGTTTTAAGACACTTCGATCCGCTCCCTTGCCCTACCCCAGCCACACACCATATCTGTTCTCTCAAACCCACCCACCCACCCACTCCCCGCTCTTCTGATTGAGCCCACCCAAGTGGATTTTCCTATATTGTACCAACCAGATCAAAACAAAACGAGAAAACAAACAAAAAAGAGAAAAATAAACTGCTGTGAATAGATTTAGTGGTGGTAAAGCTCTACTGAAGAAGGGAAACCATAAAGCTAATATTTAACTAGTTCTTAAGCGGCACAGCACAGCACAGCACCACACCATCCCACACTCACTTCAGTTCACTCCGAGATCTACCTGACTTTGAAGCCCCGCCACTCTCAATTCGGTTTCCGCAATATGGTCGTCATGCAATCCTTAGACAGAACTATTTAACAAGCACTATTCAACACCCCCAGCATCGCTGCTCACTTTCTCTTATTTCGGTTAGGTAGGGGTAGAGGCAACGTATAAACAGAATACAGATTACCGATAGCTGATAACTGAAAATAGAATCAAAACACATGCAATTCGAAGTACTCAAAGTCGAATGCAAATGACAGAACAGAACGAACAGATTGAACAGATTGAACAGATTGAACAGGTTGAAGAAGATGTTGAAGACAATAAGACAATTATAGAAATATACTTATATGATATGATGATATTGGCCTCGTCGCGTCTAGAGAGATGTACGCTCAAGTATGTAACTCCCCGACGCGTTGGGGTGGTAATCAAAGCCCATAGCAATAGCAGAGCAGAAACTTTATCCATTTACCATTCAATTTTTGAAACGATTAATCAACAATATACATACATATATATGAGAGATCAGAACAGAGATCATTAGCATTATCCTCACCTTCACTTATCCAAGAAAAAACCCATCCTGAAATCCTCGCAATCGCAATCGCAATAGAAACTGAAATCGAAACCAAATACCAATTACCACATATTACCATATATGGAATGGCAAGCCTACGTGTATAGTTTAATTGTTTACGCCACTATACATATATACATGAATGACCCTATATATACTATATACATACATATATACAGTATACAGTATATAGTATAACAAACCTATATACATAGCTCTACCATAATTATTGTACATCAATTATTGTCGTAGTGCTAAAGGCCCGAGCGAAATGCGCAACGGACTCGTGTAAATTTGATTGTATTAAAAAACACACACACTGAAACACTGCAAAGAGATGAATGAATACTTATATATATATGTAAACCATTATTATACCGTATGCAGGAAATTATGATTATGATTAATAAAGATATTTCAAGATTTAGTGCGTTAAGTTGAAGAAGAGCAAAACGAAACTCTCGAGTGTGTTTTTTTCTTAAAAACTTCTTTTCTAGATTCTATCCGGAATCTGCCCCCAATGTTCACACAGAAGGCTGGCACAGATGGCTGGCACGTTTCATCAGCTGATTTTATTGGATTCCGATAGACGACAATGTTTTTTTTTTTTTTTTTATATATTTGATTTGCCGGCCGCTTGGACCAAGGTTAGAGGCTGTCGAGAGCCAAAAATTCCCGATTAGGCTTATCACAGCGGGGAAAGTTTTGTTTTGTTTTTGCCATTTAAATAACATACACACATATGTATGATTAGACATGTGCAGAGTGGGGCTCGTCAGGAAATGGCATTGACACTTAAAGTAAAATCGTTAGTTTGTACGACAAAATAAACAGAAATAAAGAAATTGAACTAATAGTTTGACTTTTGATATTCGTGAGGTTCCATATTAAAAATACAACGATTATTAATAACCCCAATTTTACAATTGTATTATGGTAATATAATTATTATGGTGAAAGTACACCCATAGAGGGATTGCTGACCTTGGTGATCGGTAAGGCGATTTTATTGGAAAGAAGCATCGTAAACGGCATTGGCCTATAAATCCAGAGATGGAAAAGCCACTGCTGTACTCGTATAGCAGAAGTGCTGTAGTGGCGGTAAGTTCTGCTATCGATCGGGTGGCTGATAAGGGAACTACAGTATGGAAAGACAAATCAGAGAAGAGCACCAGACAGAAATGTGATTAGAGTCTCTGATCTGCGATGGCGTAACAGCAACTCCATCGATAAGAGTGGCGATTGCGAAAGACCTCCGCAGACCTGCCAGACAGGTATGTACTGTACGTTCGAGGGGGCGTGGCCCAGTGCCGCGTCCCGTCGCGTCGCGTCGTTTCTGGTGGCTTCGGGCGCATGCAGTGGGCGGCACGTAGCAAGCGACAACTGCAGCAGAGTCGGGCCTGCCTGGCCTGTCGTTATCTTATCAGGGGCAAAGGCAAAAACATTACGTCCCCATATGTTTCTGAACCGATTCAGATCGAAGCGAAGCACAAGAGCAGAGCACAGCACAGCAGAGCAGAGCAGAAAAAAGACACAAATCGAAACGAAAACAGAATTTTCATGTATGTTACTTGAGCGCAGCGCCCGGCGCAGAGTTTCAGTTTGGATTACTGTGGCAAAGCAGAAACAAGTGTGCCCCGCACAACGCCGATACGACAACATAACATTCAACATTCAGCAGTAGCTGAAGCGCAACAAGTTCCCTTGCCCAGAGATTGCCACGCTTCACGTTGCAAGTTGCACGTTGCACGCTCTGCGCGAAAGCGAGCGAGCCCCTCAATCAATTTGTTAAAAGTGCATTTGGTGCGGCCGCTGCAGGAAAGTTTATAAATAAGTAAATTCAAATTAAGTCTGCAATTTCATCACATTAAGAGTCGGCAAAAAACGCTGCGGAACGAAATAAATTAATTAAAGCAGCCATTAAATTGCAAGTGCGCGCCAAGTGAAAGCAGTTCGAGGGCCAACCGCCCACCCTGCCGCACGAACCACAATCAACGACGACAACAGAATGCTCCTCAAAGGCGTGCAGCTGCTGCGAGGCGGGTGAGTGAGTCTGACGGGGGGGAATATTTTGTGGGCCAAGAAATCAGGTGGGCCGAACCGAAAGCGTGCCATTAACAAATTGTGGTTGAATAAAGATTGGAGATGGGAGAGTACTGAACGATGAAATACTGTCACCCGTTGCCCTTGTAGCAGAATAAATATGTTGGACACTTTGAGATGCAGAAAAATGTTGAGGACTAATACGTATTTCTATAGAGTAGAGTTCTCCATCTTCTTCCTTTTTTGGCAGCTAATCTAACTTCGCCAATTTAATATACTCACCCAGCTACGGACTTACACGGTATAGGAATGACATTATCTGATCCACTTGTCTTACACGCCTTGGCATTGATAATCACACACTGTGCAAACTAATCCATCAAATAAAGTGCTCGTAGTAACCTACCCCAATTAGAATTTGATAGTTGCTGACCAGGGTTACCGTTCCCTTGATCGTTCCTATCGCATGGGGGAAAATTCCATGTCAAACAAGCAGAGTAGCGTCATCATCATGCATCCCAACAGATCCACAGCAACAACAGCAACCACAGCCACAACCATATCAATGTTAATGCCATCCATCTGCAGCGACAAGATCAATGCACCCACTCAGTGCCTGCCTCTCAACGACCAACAGAAGCTCTCATTCTCTCGCTGTCTCAATGATTGTGTTTTTGCCTCTTCTCTCGCGATTAAGCTCCACATCAAGTAGGCTGCAGACACTAACCATACAGTATATAGATGTGCCAGTTCATGCAACGAAAGTGGCGCAGCTGAGGTTTCAGCGTACGTTCCCAGGTCTTCGGCTCTGGGGCCGATCGCGTTCGGCTCTGGGATTGACCGCGTTCGGCTCACCCCACTTTTCCCATTCCTCATTTATGTTGCGGCAGGTCAGCTCAGATCGCTACATCAGCTGGCTGGCCACTCTCAAAACAAAACGAAAAACCAATTTCAGTTCAATCGGACAAAAATTGTAGAACCCACACAAGCACAGTATGTGAGAATACATGGCACACGCTCATTTACATAAACTGAAATCTCAAGCAAAATCGGTTTCGGCAGCTAAAAATTATTCTATGCATGCAATAATATATTTTGGAGTGTTACACGTACACACATAGATGCTTGCTGTCCGTCGGCTCGTGCCACGTCATGAGCCGAACGCGATCGGCCCCAGAGCCGAAGACCTGGGAACGTACGCTGAAAACTCAGCTTCGCAACTTTCGTGGCTAGTGCTGCAGATTAGCATTGCCTTGCATATGTAATTAATGAGCATGAACAATGATTGCCATTATTTACGTACCATTAAGAATATGTTTAGCTATGAATTTACTTAAAATAAGTCAGTAGTTATTTATAATACCGATATCGAATGA